TTTCTTCAGTTCTTTATATATTCTGGATATTAATCCCCTTTCAAAAAATTAGCTGGCAAAGATTTTTTCCAATTCCATAGGCTCTCTCTTAATTTTCTTAATCACTTCCTTTTTTAAAAAATTTGACAGCATCCAAGTTTTGATTTTATTTTTTTATTTTTTGAACTTTAGGGATATTGTTGAGAAAGTTGGTGCTATATCTATATGATGGAATATTTTTCTTATAGCAATTGCAAGGTTTCTGATCTAATACATAAATCTTTGATCCATTTTGATTTAACTTCTGTGCAGGGTAAAGATAGGGATCTGGTTTTATTCTTCCGCATGTGGATATCCAKTTTTTTTCCAGCATYATTTGTTAAAAAGGACGTCTTTTATCCAACATATGTTTTTGGCACCTTTGTCAAATATCAGATGACTGTAAGTTTGTGGGTTTGTTGTTGCACCTTCTGTTTCTTTGATCTTCATGTCTGTTTTCATTCTATTACCATGCTGTTTTGCTACAAATAGCTCTTTTTTTGCATTACAATTCTTAATACACCTTTATACCACAATTTATCATATCTCTGATTGTATATAAGGTATGTTGACAGAAAAWTCACATACATGTATTTTGTATAATGATGAGGGTCTGTAGCTCTTTACTGTAATTTGTGATCAGATATCGTGATGCCTCTAGCTTTGCTCAGAATCATTTTGGCTATCCTGGGTCTATTATTCTTCCAAATGAATTTTAGAATTGGTTTTCCTAGCTCTGTGAAGAATATCACAAATATTGCATTGAATCTCTACATTGTTCTGGTAGTACAGCTATTGTGACGATATTAATTCTGCCTATCCAACAACGTGGGAGGTCTTTCCATCTTCTGTGGTGACACTAAAGACACTTCAGAATAAAAAATGATTCCTGGAAGGGAAGTTCATTTGATGAAAAATCATTCTAATGTGACTTCATCCCCTCAAAATTTTAAATCAGAGTGTTATTAAAGACATCTTAGATGGCTGGGGTTGTGGCTCAGTGGTAAAGCACTCACCTAGCATGGGTGAGGCAYTAGGTTTGATTCTCAGCACCACATAAAGATAAATAAATAAAGGTATTGTGTCCATCTACAACTAAAACACTTAAAAAAAAAGATACCTTAGAAATGAGGACATCACTGAAGCCATCTGTTTGAGGTAAGAGGTGCAAATGTTGAGTGTCTGGAAACAGGTGAGAGGATGTGAGGTSGGCTGTGACCCATCTGCATTTTTAAAAAAATCTAGGAAAGATGATGATTCTTTCCCCATACATTTGACTCCATGAAACATATATCTTATAAAATAGTGTTATCAGCCTTTGGAAGAACCCAATTTTGTTTAATTCTCTCCCTTTTTGATAGAAACTTACCATTGACCCTTTCTTTGTATGGAGACTCTCAAATAGTCATGGAGAGAGCATGATGGGATGAGGTGATTCTGAGCATGAGATCCAGGGACAAAGCCAGGCCCTGTCCTTATCGTGTGGCCCCATGCAATTAACTTCTCTGAACTCAGATTCCTCTTCTGTAAAATGGGGATGACYGTAGCATCTACTTCAGATTTCCTCACAGGCATAATATTATCATGTTGAAATGCTTAGAACATGGCTTGGCACATGCAAATACCTGGTAAATATTCTCATCATGGGATAAAATTTGGCACTTAAGGTAAAGTAAATGTCAGGCCTGGAGTCCCTTTTACCTCTAATAGTTCCATAAAGTTTACTCAGGGCTGCAGGAACCCTGTTCCTCTCCAGAATACTGTTAAGTTCTCTGCTAAAGCATGTCCTGTACTGGGCAGAGACCCTGTCTGCTCACTGGCCTCATCTTTATACCATGAATCCCTTGGGATCAGGGAAGAGTCTTACCCATCTTTAAATACCCAGAAGCAGTGGTTGCAGGACCACTGATGCTTGTTTGAAGGACAAGGAGAAGAAAGGAGGTAGGGAGAGTGCAATGAAAGAAAGCTTTCATTGGGGGATGTGAGTAGGAGCTCAAGTCTTTCCCTAGGCTGGCCTCCCCCTGTGCCTGCTGTTGCAGATGAGGAGGKATGTGGGAGAACACCTGAGTCAGGGGTATGGTGGGCATGAGTTGTGGCAGGGGTCACTAATTGTCCCATATCCAATCCCAGGCCCAGTTGAGAGCTTGCCAGTGTCACCCACAGGATGTCCCACCCTCAAGGGCTCATGGCTTTCTTTGGTTACCTCTTAGCTTTCTGAGGAGATCCAATGCTCCATGGCCAGTCACCTCCAGTCCCTGGTGAAATCAGAGAAGAACCGCCAGGTCATGTGTGAGGCGGGAATGCTCAGGACCCTCATGACCTCCTGTGGCTGGGCCCTCAGCACCAGCAGCAGCCCCTTGCACTCACACCTCATCAGGATTTTTGAAAAGCTTGCTTCCCAAGCCATCGAACCGGATGTGTTAAGGTATTATGGGAGCTAAGAATTACATGCTGCAGAGAAGGGTGATGGGTGCACCATGGACAGTAGGGAGTCTGCTGGACAGGTGTCCTGGTCCCCCTCCAACATTCAACATGGAAGTCCATGGAAAAGCCTTGGGTCTGCTGTGCGATGCACTGGGACCCACAAAGCAGACAGCCCTTCCCATGGAGATGGTGGTCTCTGGAAAGGGGGCTTCAAGAACATGAAGCTAGAGCTAGCCCTGAGGCCTGGGCAGTTCACTTGCAAGGAGAGGAAGGAACTGGACATTGCAAGACCTGTTGGAAAGAGTGGGACTGGGAGGAGTGGCACTGGGAGGGCCTGACAGATCCAGAGGCTAGTTTGCAGAAAGCTGGGGTGGCAGCACTCCTATTGGGGACCTCCATGAAGTCACATTCTTGGAGAGCCACAGCAAGGAGGGAAGGCACACAGGAAAGCAGAGGTGGAAGACAAAAATCAGAGAAAGGATAGGCTGCATTCTGGAGGGAGGTTGAGTCTCCCAAGACCCTAAACTACCCTGTGGGAGTCTCCAGATGGGGGGCGCTGAGGGGGGTCACATACTCAGCAGTTCCCTGCTTATACAAGTCAGGGGGACAGAAGGCTGCCTCTTTCCAGCCAGCAGGCATGGGGTCCAGAGGCTGGGCCAGCCTCTTCAGTCCTGGTTGGGTAGGCTGCCAGACCAGCCACCACACTTCGTGCTGGGTAGAAAATTCCTTCAGAAATTTTTATAAAAAAATGCACATCACAAGATGGTGCTTGAGGCTCCTAACTTTGCAGGTTCTCTGGTAGCAAGACAGTAACACCCTGTCTCTGCAGTGCTTTAGGAAAGGGCATTTCAAGCCAAGGGGGTAAAGGGATCAAGAGAACACTGGACATCTGGGGGAAGTGGTCTAGATAAAGTTGAAGAAAACTTTAAAATGTGCCTGTAAATGTCTTCACTTGGTTCTCTTGTATGTCATGATACTCAGACAATTTCTAGGTCTTGGAATTCCCCCACCTCTGTCTGCTACAAAGAAAACCCTTGATTCTTCTCAATGGCATGGAGGCCCCCCTGGACACTCAGGTGAGGAGGGGGAATAACTGGAGTAGCTCAGGGATGATTAGGGGGATTAGAGGCAAAATGACAGGGTGATGCCTGTGTCAGGCCTGCTACTTGGGGTGGGGGTGACATTGAAAACAAAGTCATGTACACCTTCAATGTATTATCACATAGGGCACTGAAAAGGATCCAGTTTAGAGAAAGAATGTAAAATCAGTCTTGGAACTGGTTGCCATAGGTGGGAGCTGAAAACTCTCAGGGAGACAGCTTGCTGTGGAAGACTGCAGGTTAGCGAGCTTGTACAAAGTCCCAGCAAGTAACTCCGGTAGGCAGACAAGCCATAGATAGCAGCAGAAAGTGATGCTTGGAAAGGGGAAGGAAGCATGCTGGAATGAAAGAGAAATTTCCGGAGGAACAGAGGAAAAGATTATTTCCACCTTTTGATATTATCAAAATCAGCAGAGCTCATGCTGAAGGGTCAAGAGATCACCGTCACTTGTGTTTAGTGTTTGGAGACTGCATGATGCTCTGTTAGTGGAGATACTTCAGGGATATTTCCAAAACAGGAGTGAAAATGCATTGGGCAAGGACATATCTTTTCTTTTGTTTTCTTTCTTAGGGTTACAGGCAGCAGATCTGGGCATGGTTGAGGGACCTGCAGAAGCCAGTCCAAATTCTGGAGTGGCTCAGTCCCTCAGGTCCTCAGAGGCATCCCAGGATTCAACCACAGCCCTTCAAACYGCACTGAGCCTCATCTCCATGACCTCCCCACGCAACCTGCAGCCTCAGAGGGCTGCTCTAGCACCATCATTTGTGGAATTTGACATGTCTGTAGAAGGTTATGGGTATGGACAACTCTCAWTATTAACTTCCCTGTGCCTCTGATGAGTTAAAACATTGATTATAAAATTATAGCTCCCATAAGTTTTTACCACCCAAGCAGAGCAAAGTGTCTAGGTTATGAGCCCTCTCTGCTCAGTGGCTTTTCAGGGGCAGTATCACCAGCCGTGGAGGATCACAGCCCTCTCCTTTCCTGGTGTGGCTACCTTCTGGAATCTCCTCCCATCCTCTCCAGCCTCTGTGGGGGATCGTAATAGTACCAACTGCTTTCTATCCTTTCATGGTTTAAGAGTGGGTGAAGCTCCTACCGGAGGACCAGAGAGAGGAGATGTCATGGCCCCAACTAGCTGACTTCAGGCAAGAGGGTGTCTTTGCAGTCCAGTGATCTGAGATTCTTTCTTGTTTCCAGCTGTTTGTTTATTCCAACCCTGTCTACAGTTATGGGCATCAACACCGAGTATTCTGTCTCTGGAGGGATTGGGACAGGTAGGTATTTCCCAGGTGGTGTAGTTCTCCACCTGATCCCAAGAATAGGTCCTCAAGTATTACTTATTTCCTGTGAACATCTACTTCCTACCATAAATAATGAGACAAAAGCATCCTCGCCTTGTGGAGTTGAAATGAAGTTGGCATGAGTTAGGCCAGGCACAGTGCTGGTACTTAGCGTGGCTGTCAACTCGGAGCCCCAGTGAATCTAAATTTGTTTCCTCAGCAGGACAAACAGTGAGGCTATGCTTATGTTCTTATTCCAGGTGCTGCCAGATCATTCCCTCCACCAGGGGGTCTGACCTTCTCCTGCTGGTTCCTGATCAGTAGGCAGGCTGCTATCACTGAGGGCCAYCCTCTGCGCTTCCTAACCTTGGTGCGCCACCTGGCCAGGACCGAGCAGCCCTTTGTCTGCTTCTCCGTCAGCCTCTGCCCAGATGACCTATCCTTGGTTGTGTCCACAGAAGAGAAAGAATTCCAGCCCCTGGGTAAGACATTGGGATGCTATACTGGTGTCTCCTATACTTGGTTGAAATGAAACTGAATTAGAAGCTCTTGATAAAGGCATGTTTAGAAACCTGGCAACCTCTTCTTTCTCCTCATCTTTTACAGTTGCTTCCTTGGGTTCCACATCTGGTGAAAGGTCTAAACAAATATTTGTTGAGTGCCTCTGTGGTCTGGGCTCTGGAGTTATAACTGTCAGGCAGACAGGACTCTATACCTTAGTGTGATTTTAGACATTATGCTCAGTAGCTTTCCAGAAACATAGCTCACCACTGGCAGAGTGGTCATAGATGGATCTTGGGGAATTGCCTCATTAGAACAAAGACTGATTCATCTCCTGTACAAGGTTTGCAAGGAATACACACAACTTAGCTGCAGCTAAAGCAAACTTAGACATCCCACAAATGTTCAGCCCAAAATACAGAGGGCTGGCCASTGTTTGGTGGGCAGGCTGGTGGCCCTAGAGACCCAGGAGCCTGATCATCCCTCAGTAGTGCTGGTGGCTGCTCCTTTGGAGTTCTGTCTTTTGGAGTTCAGCCTTGTTCTCCAAGCCCACCTGCCTGAGATGAACAAACCCAATATATCTCTGCCACATGTTCCTCTTTCGTGTTCTGAGTCAGTGTTTCTAGTGAAATATGTGGAAGGCTTAGAGAGAATGGTTGATATTCTCAGCTCACAGCAAGACTTCCTTTGCCCCATCCCTTTCAGGACTTTTACCTGCACATGGCCACTATCATGGAGGCAGTCTAATGTAGCTAGACCCTGGCTGGAACATGACTCCTGTGTTTAAATACTGACTGCATGACCTTGGGCTAATTACTTAAGCTTTCTTTGCTTCAGAATGGTAAAATGGTAACAATAATATTGCCTATCTTGCAGAGTTGTTTGTGAAAATTAAATGAGCTAATAGTCATAATGGTGCTTAGACCAGTCTGGCACAGTTAGAGCTCAAGGACTGATGGCTGTTGCTGCTGCTAATGTAATTTTTTATGAGAAGAAGGGTAGGTTATGTCTACCCCAGGCACAAGGCCCACATGGGTTGACCAGGGACATCCCTCTCCACCACTACTGGGTTACTGCAGSATGATGCCAAATGCAAGGTCTAGTGATTGTGTTCTCTTCTAGACATCATGGAACCCGAGGATGAGTCTGAGCCCTCTGCAGGATGCCAACTTCAGGTCAGATGTGGCCAGCTGCTGGCTTGTGGTCAATGGCATCACCTGGCTGTGGTTGTCACCAAGGAAATGAAAAGGAATTGTATTGTTTCCACCTATCTAGATGGACAGGTCATTGGTTCAGCCAAGGTGAGATGGTTTCCCCAAGCACTAGTTACCCCATGGCCATGCCTTCTGATCCCACTACTTGGAGCAGTTTGGGTTCAGTTCAATGTTTTCTTTCAAGCAGGTTTGATATCTAATGAAAACCCCCTTGCTTTCCAAGATACTGACTGAGCTCAGGTGTGAAAAGGACATCTTAAGAAAGTTGACTGAATAATAAGACACTATGAATCTCTGAAATGCACAAAGCAAAGCTTCTCACATTTTAAGATGCAAATTTCACAGGGAGGTCTGAGCAGAGCCTAAGGTCTGACTTCTAAGAACTTCCTGATGAGGCCAGTGCTACTGTGTGCCATTCTTAGGAACAAGATGCCATTCTTAGGAACAAGATGCAAACACGGCTTACCTGATTTAGAACAAGAATGACAAGAAGGGTAGCAGAATGTGAATGAGTAGTTGGAAGAAACTTCTCATCATCCTAATTTAGAGATATCAATGTATAAGGGAGGGCAAGGAGTTGGAAGACATGCTTTATCCAGCAACCCCTGTCAGAGGTCCTTGAGGAAGCTAGAGATGGGAAAGCATACAAAACTGGGGAGGGAAGGTACAACTCAATTTCCACTCAGGTTTCAGAGACAAGTATCTGACCAAGGCTGTATCCTAGATTCACCTGGACAGTTTTTTTTTTAAGTTTTCTTGCACAGGTAGTATACTAGATAGATCAATAACTAGAAAAGCTGTGGGTCAGTAAACCTGACAATTCAATAGAGCTTTCAATTTTTCCTGGGTGATTCTAATATTTAGCTAGAATGGAGAACCTTAGAGTTACATGTTTCTCAATTTGAACTGAACTGACATTTGGGAATGATAATTCTTTGTTGCAGGGGCCTATTCTGTGTGTTTTAGAATGTTTAGCCAAACATTATAGCATTCCCTCCTTCATCTCATGACACTGAATTGTGACTACCAAAAATTTCTCYAGATATTACCAGTGTCCCCAAGGGGGCAAAGTTTGTCCCAGGCTAAGAAACACTAGGTTAGAACCATGTAAATTCTGTAGGACACTGACAAATGAAGTTGATGCTTTTTTTAAAAAAAGTTGTTTTTATCAAAAAGACAGTGGTAACTAGAAAGATTTTAGAAGGCTCATAAGAAAAACAGATCCTTCAAAACATAAAGTTAACCTTTTCTTCAGTGATTGATTATATTAGTTTACCCTCTTCCTTCTTTCTTCCCTTCTTTCCTTCCTTCCTCTTCCTTCTTTTCTTCCCTCCCTCAATAAGTATGTACTCCCTCATAAGGATCTATGTCCCACACACCAAGTATGCATTAGAATTAGCTTGGCTGTGTCTTCAAAAAATCTTGACAGGAATTTAGTCTACAAATTTTGACAGGAATTGCATTATACCTATGGATCAGTTTCAGGGGAATGACAACTACAYTGTAGTGAGTCTTCCTGTCCATGAATATGGTATGTCTCTCCATTTAGATAGTTTATAAATTTTTTTGTTGTTATCATTTGGAATGTTCAGTATACAGATTCTATACATGTTTTGTTAAGTAGATCATTTTCTCTTGAACAATTATAAATGGTATTGTTTTGAAATTGTATCTCTGCTTGTTCACTGTTAGTGTATAGACATGCAGTTGATTTTTGTATCCTGTGACCTTGATGACCTCACTTATTTGTTCTGGGAGATTTTTAAAAAGATTCCTTGGAAATTTTTACAAGTTCATGTCATCTACAAATAGAGACAATATTATGTCTTTTTTAAAAAAGTGATATGACTGTAGTTATTGTTGGTACATAAAGTCTTATTAATGTGCCAATAATGGACATTTAAATTCTTAGTGGAATGACTGGGCTAAAAGGGATGGACTTTTGTCTCTCTTTGTGCTTCTTATCAAATCTATTTCCAAAGGCAGAATCAATATTTTACTCCCATCTGTATTTTATAAGTTGTTTTACTGCATGCTTCTTAGATTTGATGGTCATCTTTCTAATTTTTGCAATTCAATAAAATTTTATTTTGACTTGTGAATAAGGTTCATCTTGTTATAGTACTACAATTTTATTAGGTTAATTTTAAGATTAGCACTACTTACTTCCTTCATCCTTTATCTTTAAACAGATGTTGTACATTCAGGCCTTACCAGGACCTTTCCTTTCAATGGATCCATCTTCATTTGTGGATGTCTATGGATATATTGCAACCCCTCGGATTTGGAAACAAAAATCATCATTAATCTGGCGTCTTGGTCCTTCATATCTTTTTGAAGAAGCCATATCACCAGATACTCTGGAAGTTATTATCAAGCTTGGCCCAAGATACTGTGGTAACTTCCAAGCTGTGCATGATCAAGGTATGAGTGTTTTGATTTATAATGCCTTTGCTGATATTATTTTTTAAATGGACATCCAGTTATTTATAGCATATTTATAAATGATAAACTCAGCACAGGTCAATCATTAAGGAAGACCTCTATAATTGGATCATTACATATTTACAACCCAACAGAAAATGTCACAGAAAAGGAAATGACAATATCCCTTAGATTTCAACTCCAAAGCACCTAATGGAGGTGGGTGGGTGGGTAATACCAGCAGTGAAGAAAGAGAGAAGAGAATGAGATAAATAAGTTACATTCCTTTTAATGAAGAAGCTTTTTAACTAAAGCATACTGTTGTCTTCAATTATTAAACAGGCAGACAAAACATCCACATTTTCATTATTGATTGTTGGCTGTTCAAGCAGGGAACATTTCTCTCTGTGCTCTGTCAAGTCAAGGGGGTCAGTTCCCATCTGGGAAGAATGATAAATGCATCTCTGTAGGAAGGCCTTGTGCATGGCGAAGGACGATTGAGTGCTCTTGAGTGTTTCTGTCTCCAGGCCCACATCTTGTTTGAACTTCATTTCCTGAGGCAAATGGCATTGGCCTGAGCAATGGGACTAGGTAGGGTCTAGAGCCAAAGTTTCACTGACTCTGTGTTCACACCATACTTCTCTAGTAGCACATTGGCTCTCGTTAACTTGGGGACCAGTGTGCTAATTGCTAGTGTGATGTTCAATACAGCCATGCAACCCATTGAAAATTTTAGGCTTTCAAGCCCAGCTTATTTTCCTTTGTTTCTAAGTCAGATTTCTCATCATTTAGAAGTTTGGTTTTGGGGAAGCAACATTAGCTTGATATCTATTTTAAGCTCCGGTAATTTCACACCTGGTATATCTCTGTTTTATAGAAGCATCAATCTTGGGAGATTTCTCTAGAGGTTTTGTGTTAGAGAAACACAGGTAGTCACAAAACACATGACATACAAACATACAACTTGCATAGACAATGTAATAACATTAAAAAAATTCTCTCAATGATGACTTTGCTGTGTGGCAGTAGCTATTTAATCACTGAGAACTAATTTCCTTCTTTGTAAAAGGAGACTAGAACTGATTAAAGATGTGTTGCTATAGGAGGAGACCCAGAGGGTCAAGCCACACCCCTTGTTGCAGAGGAAAAGATTTCCTTTGGTCTTCATGTAACCAGCTCCTCCATCACCACTGTAGCAGACATCAGAAATGCCTACAATGAGGTGGATAGTCGCCTGATTGCCAAAGAGGTACACCTTCTAACTTCCCTTGCTGCTCTCTGTTGGAATCTTGATCTCATGACTGCTTCAGCTTCCAGTGCTTAAGCAAACTGTCATGTGTAGGATAGATAAATGCATACACACTATCATTTAATTTGTTAAAACAACCTATGCTTCTCCACCCATTAGCCTCCCCAGGACTAAACCTTCTGTTTATAATTGCTCATAGAAGAAAGTGTGTAGTATTCCTGGTACATCAAAAACAAATGGACTTTATTCTATATTGTTGTGACATAGAGAATACTGCTGACCCATCAGCACACCAGAATTGCTTTGAGTTGCTGTAACTTAAAAAACAAAAAACAAAACAAAACAAAAAATAAACTTTCAATAGATAATGAGCAAACACATGTAAATGAGGATACCATTGATTTACTTCCTCCTAATTCCTGCATAAAAATCTCTTGCTTTTAAAGCTGATAAATTTTGACTGATTTGTYTGTATTCTCTTCACTATCATGGTCAGAGCAGGAGGTGGAGTCAGGAGCTATGTCCTACACACCAAAGCTGTGCCTTACCACACAATATATTTTCTGATGATGAAGGCCAGGATTTCTGCCTTYCTGTCCTTCTGGAATCCTAGAAGTTGGGCTTTTCAGAGCCTGGAAAATCCCCGACAGGGAAAGAGACAGCTTTGCCTTGGTAGTTCTGTTTCAACTTGGGTCATCCCTATCTTCATGAGCTCTTCACTGTAAGTGTGTGGGTTGTCACAGATAACTGAAGCTGCTTGTGTACAGTTAAGYCGCAGCCTGGGAGCAGGACAGGGGGACACAAACTTTGGCTTCAGTTCCCCAACACCATTTCAAGTATTATTCTTCCACTATCATTGCTTATGAAGCACAGCACTGGGCCAGACCTTGGGGTGCCTGTACTCTGGGAGCTCACAAATGACATTCCTTCTCTTCCAGGAGTTTCTTAGATTAATTGTTGCCAATTTCTCTAGATGAATATTTCATCCCGTGACAATGCCATGCCTGTGTTCTTGCTGAGAAATTGTGCTGGACACCTCTCAGGTTCTCTTCGGACCCTTGGAGCTGTTGCTGTGGGCCAATTAGGTAGGTCAGGCAGTGAACCTTTACTTTTCTTTAAGAAGAAGGATAATGCACCCTAGAATTGTGGAGGCTCAAGCAGGATGGAACATACTAGTGAGAGCCAGAGTTGGAAATAAACCCAGTCAGAGAGTTGGCTGCCCAGACAGAAGAGAGATCCATTCACCTTGTGCATCTGACATTGGTAGTGAGCCCAGCTAGTTCCCTGGCTGCACAACAGGAGCCTACATAGGAGGTACATTGGGCCCTGTGTGCAGGGGCAGTGTTGTGGTTGTGGGGTAGAAGCAAAGCAGCAAGCTGGTGTGAGGATGCAGCCCAGCAATATTCAGAGGGCAGGCAAGAGCCAAAGGTTCTCACAGCAACCAAGAAACTGAGTCACAGAGGCCATCTGGCTCATCTGGCACTCTGGACTTAAGGCATATGGTGCCAAACTGAGAACCTCTGGAAGTGTCAGCCTTCTAATGATACAAACAGGCCTTTGCAGAGGATCCCTTAGCTGCCCAAGACTTCCAGAGTCTCTGTCTTTCCTCCCACCCTSTCCTGATGCATGGGTCCCTCTGGCTGTGCATGGGCAGAGGCACAGGCAGCTCCTTCACTCTTGCACACTACTGGATTCTGCATTGTAGTGCAGCTGTAAAGTTCTAATGAGATGTCCCCTTTGTCCTGCACAGGGGTGAGGGTGTTTCACTCCAGCCCTGCTGCCTGCAGCCTGGACTTCATTGGCGGGCCCACCATTCTATTGGGCCTTATCTCCTTAGCGAAGGATGACCACACCATGTATGCAGCTGTGAAAGTCCTGCACTCAGTCCTGACCAGTAACGCCATGTGTGATCACCTGATGCAGCACATCTGTGGCTACCAGGTAATCCCGTCCTCCCGAATGAGCCTGGGACTCCCCTGAAAGCTGACATCTCTAAGCAGCAGGGACAAGCTTTATGTGACCAATGACATTCCCTCCATGGTGATTTCTGGAAAAGGATGGCCTTTTAAAAGTCTCCTGGGTTCTGAGACCCGCAGAGGAGCACCAGATGACAGCCAGCCTGAGATATGCTGTTTGAGCTAGGGATGTTCATCTAGGGATGCTCACCTAGCTGCAGCTTCTGGCACTTTCCGTGACAAAATCCAGAATCATCTATGGTCTTTGCCTTCAGCAAAATGGCTATGAGCCCAGGCCACAAAGCCAAATTGCTGAGGTTGAAATCCTCATCCTCTTTCTCATTATTTAACTTGGAAGAATAATTCTCCTCTCTGCCTTGGTTTTCCCTTCTGTAAGGTAAGGACCTCTTGCATCAGAAGGCAGTGAGGATTTGATAGCGCTAAAGAAATGTTAGCTACTTGAACTCATAATCTCTTTGTGCCTCAGTTCCTTTATGTGTAAAATGGGAATATGTTTGTGATGATTAACATACAGGTCAATATGTTAAGAGTGTAGAGAGTGCCCTCACAGAAGAAGTGCCATGGTCCCATGCAGGGTATATTTTGATGGTTATTGCTATTTACAGTTGATAAGGCCAAATGAGAYGGAAGCACTGTCATCAGTAACTTCCTGCATGGTTGGGAGGCGGTTATGAGAGAAACCTCAGGAAATAAGACTAGGGAAACACAGACATAGGCTTTTTCTCAAGCAACTGGCAGCTATTTTAATTAGTTTTTGTTTCTTTTGATACGAGGGATTGAACTCAGTGACACTTTACTACCTAGGCACATCCCCAGTCCCTTTTTATATTTTATTTAGWGAGAGGGCCAGGCTAAATTACTGAGGCCGGCTTTGAATTGGTGATCCTTATGCCTCAGCCTCTTGGGCTGCTGGGATTACAGGTTTGTACCAGCACACCTGGCTCCATTCAATGTATTTTTTATCTCAGATATTATCATCATTTCCAAAATTTTGTCTGGGCTTTTAAAACTTTTTTGTTCTTCATTTACCTTTTCTGTGTACTTTATTTTGGTTTCTTTTTTTGATACTGCAAGTTCAACTGAGGGTTGCTTAATTACTGAGCCATGTCCCTAGCCCTTTTTATTTTTTATTTTGAAAAAGGGTCTCACTAAGTTGCTTAGGGCCTCATGCCTCACTAAGTRACTGAGGATAGTCTTGAACTTGGGATCCTCCTTCCTCATCTTCCCAAGCTGCTGGGATTATAGGCATGCAGCACCATACCTGGCCCTAATTGGGTTTGGATAAGGGAGGAAAGAGTGATTAGATTACAGATATGTCAAAACAGTGACCAAACAGTTTGAAAGATATTGCCTATTTGCTTATAACAAGTACGGCTTCCCAAGGGCATACTGATAGATGTGACAGGTATGTCTGGGAGAGATAGACTATGTAAGATCAGAGAGAGAATTGAGTGTGCTTGAGATGAACTGAGAATCCTGACAAGATGGATGAGAACTCGGAGACCAGTGGATGGCCCAGTAGCCTGTGTTTTGTAACCAAGGTCCTCAGGGCTGTGAGGGTTGGTGAGATGCCTCTCCCTAGGCTCTGAGATGGGTTTAGTTACTGAGTGCATTTCTGGGTTCCCAGTGCCTCCATCCTGGAATGGATGCTTGCACCTTGCTGGCTTTCTAGTACAGCAAAATGACATCTGGAGGCTGAAGCAAGGCTGGGTGTAACTGGCCTCGTGGGCACGAGGCGGATTGTTGCCTCAGTGTCTGTGGGATGGTTATGCATGTAAAGGATCCAGCAACAGAGCACTGAGAAACCAAGGAGGAAACCAGGAGAGAGTGGCATTTGGGGAACACAAGGGAAGAGAGTCAGGGAGAAGCTGGAGTCTCAGAGAGAGGCCAAGTCACATGAATACTGTAAAGTGGACACTGACAAGGATGTGGCCAAAGAAGTTGGTGTGGATTTTTCTTCTGAGATGATGGGGATGAAGGGTGGTAGCTTCAGAGAGCAGGGTTCACCCACAGCACAGACCCAAGGTGCCAGCAGGAACAAGCAGTTGCAAGAAAAGCAGATCCCACCATGTGATCATGAGGACCCACTTTGTGTTCCAAACTTTTCAGATAATGGCATTTCTCCTGCGGAAGAAGACTTCTCTCCTAAACCATCGAATTTTTCAGTTGATCCTCTCAGTTGCTGGTACAGCCGAGCTGGGCTTCAGGTCATCTGCCATCACCAACATAGGTGTCTTCCATCACATTCTCTGCAATTTTGAGGTAAATTAGAGCCTGGTTCTTAGTCATTCAGGAGTGTGTGTGTGTGTGTGTGTGTGTGTGTGTGTGTGTATGTGATGATAAAATATAAGAAAGTCTGGCGTTTGCTCTAAGCCCTGCAGGTCTGATTGCTCCATAGTCATGGCAGCACTAGGAGGGAAAACCACAACAGTTTTTGAGCTCAGAGGCCCTGGTTTATAGTTAAATCCTACAACCTATGGGCTGTGTGACCTTGGACAAATTTTCTAACCTCTCTGAGTCCCATTCTTCTTAAGTGTGCCATGGAGACCATTATCTCTTCCCCTCAGGTGTCGTGGAGGGTTAAAAGCAGATAGTACTTAGGAAAGGATTTGAAAACTGTAAAGTACCATATGCATATGAGGGTTTTAAAAAAATCATACCAATTCCTTTGGATGGTGCTTTGTGGTTTCCCAAAGACCTTTAAAGAGAGTGGCCTGAGAGGTGCTGAGGGGAACTTGAAGATAAGTGAGGAGGGTCAAGCTACTTTGGGTGAATCAACCTGTTTGTGAACAGCATTATTTACTGAGTTCCCAGTGGACTCAGGTAATGGCCAGGTTCTGGTCACATCACAGATCCACGACCCAGTTCCTCCTCACTCCCAGATGGACCCAGGACATAGTTAAGATAACACTCTGGTGTGCTAGGTTCAGGTCTGGGGCCTCTGGGGAGGCGGAGTGAGAGCAAAGTCAGTGCAAGCTTTAGGGATCAGGGGCTCTGGGCTGAGTTTGACAGATTTCAAAGAAGAAAGGCCCTTTCAGGTGGAATGTGTGCTATTTGCAAATACAATGCCMTGGGAACAGCCAAGGGGATCTGAAAGCCAGTGACTGCTAGACGCCTGCCAGTTTGCATCAGGTGTGGGCAGGGATGAGGCTGAAGTGGGAGAAGCTGGCAGAAGTGGGAGAATCTGGGAGAATGTGCTCAAGGCAGGGTGAATGCTTCAACCTACACATGTTGAGATCCATGGGAGTACTTTGAAACTGTTCCTTTGTTTATTAAAACAATTAACATATGGGGGCTGGGGATATAGCTCAGTTGGTAGAATGCTTGCCTCACATGCACAAGGCCCTGGGTTCTATCCCCAGCACCATAAATAGATACATAAATAAATAACATATGTAGCCAGGTGTAGGGGTGCATGCCTATATTCCAGATACTCAAGAAGATGAGGCAGGAAGATTCCAAGTTCAAGACTAACCTTAGCAGTTTAGTGAGATCCTAAGTAACTTAGTGAGACCTTGACTCCAAACAAAAAATGAGCTGGGGATGTGGCTCAGAGGTAAAAAAAAATAAATAAAAAAACATATGCTTATTAGAGAATACTTTTAAATTACAGAAAATGGGGCAGGGGCATCTCCTATTTTCAAGAACCCATCAACTATTATCAAATTCAATGCATTATCTAACTATGCATTATATTTACCTACATGTGTGCACACACACACACACACACACACATACACACACACACACACACATATATATAACAAATTTATATAGATAAATATATATATAAATAAAATATATATTTTCTATATTATATAAAATCATAGTTATGATCATACTTCAGATATTGAGTTCTGCCTTTTCTCACATAACAAATACATATAAAATTTTTCATTACAAACACATACAAGCCTTGGTCTGATGTCAGAGTAATATTCTCTCATGTGTAGAGTTCCTGGCTTCTATTTCTCTATTGCCAAATTCTTGGATTATTCTTATACTTTGTTGTGATAAATGTCATTACACCAGCACTCTTGTACATCTCTTTTCCCTACTTTTAGAAGCATTTCCTTAGAATAAGTTACCAAAGTTGAATGATGAGGATGAAGCCTTTATGAACACTTTAGATTGTTGGTGAGTTTTGCTACATTGCTGATATCTAAGTATCTAAGGATATTAACTGTAGAATGACATGTCAGAGTTTTATTTTATGTATGTTTCTCTGTTGGCAAAAGCCCTGGGGCAGGGAGGTTAGTCAAGAGATGACTGAAGAAATTCAATTGAAAGATTTTGAAACYTAAATGAAACAAAGGCAGTGAGACAAAGATGAGGATCAAGAAGAAATAATAATTCAAATTAGAAGGGATTTAGAGTTGAATGACAGGGTGATGCTATGTGTATAAACATGGTTGAGTTGCCACTGAAAGCAGGGCTGGGAGAGAAATGTGCATATTAGAAAGGAAAAATCATTTTGAAATTAATGAACAGAGCTTTTAGATCAAAAAGTAACAATGACCAACCAAACAAACAAAAATAAAATTCAGAGAAAGGAGGAAGGGAAAAGTAAAGATAAGATTATAAATTAATAAGATAGAAAAGAAAAATATCAAAGGATAAATAGAACAATTACTTGTTTTCATAAAATAGATAAATCTCTGTTAGGATTAATCAAGAGCAGGAGCTGTAGCTCAGTGGTAGAGTACTTGCCTATCATGTGCAAGGCCTTAGATTTAATCTCCAGAAAAAAATAAAATAAAAAATATAAATATAAAAAGTAAAAGTACTATAAAGGAATGAACAATTACAGAGGTAATTAAAAATAAGAAACTTTGTGCCAATAAGTTAGGAAACAGCACATTTTAACAATCTCACAGAAAATTCACATTTCCAAAGCTTACTCAAAAGGACATAAAATCCACAAATTATCCTATAATCATCAAATAAATGGAATCATTGGTTTAAATATTCACACATCATATCCAAAGGAAACTCCAGACCCAGGGATCTTGTAGAAAAATTCTACCACTCAGGTAATAAGCCATTCTGGAAATAGAACAGATTATACTCTGAATCCATTTCATAGGCTAATCTTAATATCAGAACAACAACAATGAAAAGGATGGTACAGAAATGAAAAAAAAGTACATGCTAAATTAATCATAGCTACAAAAATCATGAATATGATATTAGAAAATAAAGGGGAAGGAGTTTCAGCCTTTGTTTTTGTGTTTTTGTTTTATTCTTTTTAGTTACACATACTATTTTTATATAAATTCATTTGACATAATCATAAAAGCATGAATATGATTTGCTTCAATTCAGTCCCCAGTACTTCTCCTTTCTCTGCTCTCCTTCCTCTCCTGTTCCCTTCTGTCTACTGTACTGATCTTTCTGCTTTATACTCACAGATTCTTTTTTTTTTTTTTTTAATTAGTGCTTTGTGGATGTACATGATGGTGAGATTTGCTGTGGTATGTTTATATATGTACATAGGAAAGTTAGGTCAGCTCCATTCCACTGTTCTTCCCTTCTCCTGTACTTCCTCACTCACTCTCAATCCCCTTCCTCTASTCCATTGATATTTCCTCTATTTTGATAGAATTTCATGCCCCTCTTTTCTTTCCTTTACGTTTTTCTTAATTTTGAACTAAGATGGAAAGACATTAAGTCTGAATGTAACTTAGAGTGAAGAGGCAGTAAAGGGGGCAGTTAAAACACTAGCAGGAGAAGAAATTGTTGGTAGAACAAGTCCTCTTAAAGAAGAGGGAGGAGCGTTGTAGATCTCACTCCTCTGTGAGATCTATGGTGACCTGTGTGTAGAAGGGGAAGAACAAGAAATTGAGAAGCAAGGAGGGATAGGAAGTTGAGAGGCAGGGAAAGACAGGAAGTTGTTAAGTGAGGAGGGACAGGAAATTGAGGATATTCAAGTCTTATATTCTGGTTTCTTAAAGAAGGGACAGATCAACTAATTTCTGAGAGTTCTGAGAGTGAGATGGTCTCAGGGACTGGGGAGAGCAAAATCTGACACATTATCTATTTGATATTCAAACAGGTCTAATTCAATATCTCAATGTAATCCTTAGTAGAGGTTATGTGACATAGGCAACAACCAAAATTTTAATTATCCATGTTTCCCCAAACTCAGACATTTAATATTGTGTACAATGACTTCTAGAAAAGCCAAGCAACCTTGGAATGTGTTATTATTGTTCTAAGGGCTGGAAGTGAAGTGGAGGACTGGAAACTTCTATAGGAAGGATAAAGGGGCCAGCATTAGTGAATATCACAGGTTCATGTCTTTCTAAGTTCTGCAGCTCCCACCACTGAGGATGACATACTGTTTGCTGAAAGACCAATTTCGTGATAAATATTCCAAGTATTCAGGGTKCTTAGAGTCCTGCACATGTGTATGTTGGGGGTACCATACTTGGCTGCCTCATCTGTACCCCTATAAGCCATCCCCAAAAGCATTTGTCCTATCTCTGGGAACATTTGGACAGTGACTGTGCTTATGAGGGTTAGAATTCTGTCAGACTGCTTTTGGCTTAAGAACAATGTACGTATTTTATGTTGTTTTATTTTGCTTTTGTTTTTTTTAAATTGGATGGGTTATTATTAAGTGCCCAGTATGTGTCATGTGTGATACTGGGTTCTGGGGATTGGAGAGGGATGGTCCCTGCATTTGCAGACCTCCTGATAAACTTGTATCCATTGGAGCTCTTTTGCATTTCTCTTCAGTAAGAGGACAGAACCATGGGCACCTGCCTGACTTCAAAATATTGATTTTCAACCCTATGGGTCACCGTCTGCCTACAAGGACCCCAGTGCAGCAGCAAGAGAATAAGCTCCTGATCAGAAGGAGCAGGCTTTGAAACCAGTCTTTGTCAACCAGAGACTAAGGGTGACTTAGTGTCTTTGTACCTCACCTCATTTTCTTCTATAAATGAAGATGCAGGGGTTCCTCTTTATCTGCAGTTTTGCTTTAGATAGTTTCAATTACCCATAGTAAACCCAGGCCCAAAAATATTAAATGAAAAATTCCATAAATAAAGAATTYATAAGTTTTACATAATTTTATTAATAGCATATTAGGATAATTATCTTATTTTACTATTATTTATTATTGTTAATCTATTATGCCTGATTTATAAATTAAACATTATATATATATATATATATATATATATATATAAATATTTCTGTACTCTCAGCAATTTCAGGCATCCATGGAATGTCTTGGAATGTATCTCCTTATGGGTAAAAGGCAACTGCTATAATGGTGTTTTAGGACTTTTATGGCATCTCTTGCCTTGAGCTAATGGTATCATTTGTAAGTGTGAGCTTTTTTTATGCTCTTGGATGTATTCTTAGAGCTCCATGTGTGAACCTTCTATATGCTGGGCCTAATACTGGAATTGTCAGCATTTAAAGATGAAAAATAGTGAAGCTCTCTAAAATGACGTCAAAATGAAATATAAAGGCACACCATCAATTCTTCCACAGAGGGAGAGTAATCAGCTCCATTTTTTTTTGCTATGATTGAAGACAATCTGAATGATAAACCTCATCCTCAGAATCTCTGTGCATTTGACATATGTGTCACTCATAATTCTCTTGTGCAGTCTCTGGTTTGGACTTCAGATTTTATTGATGAGGGTGCTGAAGATAGTGTCGCATACCAAGTTCAGTGTGGCTTATTTCATATAGTGTAAAACCTTAAAGGCAATATCTGGCTTCTAATTTCACTGCTACCACTTGCTGGTGGTAAGTGGAACCTGTCACTCAGCTGGCCTGTCTTAATCTATTTTCTCATCTGTAAAGTGGGAACTCCATAATTTGCCTTGCAAAATTTAGTGTAGTTAAGATGCATCTAGTGTGTGGTCTCATTGGTTGTGGCCCATGACTGGGCAGATATAGGAGATAGATGTCCTTGGTTGCAATCTAAACTCACATGAAGCACCAGGCAGCATTAGAGAAGGGGAGGAGATGAATGCATTTTTAAGCTTTCCTCCAGTGGTAGGGAGGCATTTCCTACCTTCTAGGTACCAGGAGAGCTGTCTGATCATACAGCTAGTAATTCCAAGTGAAGAGACAACATGCCCAGCACCTGTCTGCAAACCCTCTATCACATGCTCTTTCATTGTAGCATGCATTTGTTTTGCCTTACAGCTCTGGATGAATACTGCAGACAACTTGGAACTTGCCCTCTTTTCTCATCTTGTGGAAATTCTTCAATCACCAAGGTATGCTGGTTTCTGGCAGTTTCAGAGTTAAAACTAACATCTTAATGTCAGGGCAGGATGGCTAGTGGGAGTACTAGAAGGCAGGATGACTAGATTCCTTCCCAGCGGATCATGCATGTAGAACAGATCTCTCTCCTCTGACAGGTCTCAGGAGAGGAAACTCTGGGGCCTCAGAAGCTTCTGTAGCCTCAGGGGCTAGCACCTAACCAGGGTTTAACAAGTGTGGCTAGCAAAGGAAGACACACTTTCATTCCTCATTTTGCATCAGCCCATTCTCCCTCTAACTGACGTCTTCAAGTCAATTTTTGAATTAGGATTTTTTTGTTGTTGTTGCAAGTGGCAGAAATACAACCCAAACCAAAGGAGGAAGGAAGGGGGAAAAGAGCAAGGAGAGAAGGAAGGGGCAAAGAAAAGCAGTTGAAGAAGGAATTCATTGGCTTGTACAATAAAAAGGGTAGTTGGAACCTAGGCTGGGTGGAACCCCCATGATTTCATCTGATCTCTGTCTCCCACTCTGCCTATGCTTCCCTCTGAGCTGGCTTATTTCTGCAGGCCTTCTCTTTGGCAACCAGGTGGATGCTAGGCAGCTTCATAGAGCATATCTGGTCTCATTGGACCAACTTGGGTCCCATGGCCTGKCTCAGAGCACAGATGGGAAGGAGTTAGAGAAAAGGGGTTAGAAAGAAGTAGTTCCAAAATTAGAGTTAAAACTAGCATCTATCTGTCTACTGCTCACCAGGGCTTTGACCAGAATAAGGGAGAAGGGAGACAGCAAAGCCAGCTTATCAATCCCTCTACTTCCTCATGGCCAAACCACCTTAGTGACCATCAGCACCTTTAGTGTTTTTAATGCATTTTAAAGCATCTTTTCTCTTGGACTCGTTATTATTGAATAACTATTATAAACCCACTACATTTCATACCCCATTCTTACTGTTGGAAAGTTAGAAAAGAATAAGACACAATTCTGTGGAGAAGGAATATGGAAAGACAGGCTGCTCCGGCAGTGAGWGGAAAAGAAGAGAAAGTAGCTAGAGCTCAGAGGTGGAGGGATGCACATTATTCCTGTTCAGCCCGTTTGTGTCAATCACACAGAAATGGCATGCTCCTGACTACCCCTGTGTCTCAGGAATGTGGAGCTTGGCAGAATTTAGCATGTTAATACCAAAAAGAAAGTTTAAGAGGAAGAATCCACCAGAATTCACACCCCGCCCCCCATTTTTCATTTTCTGTAGCTATACCTGTTGTTTTCTTAGAATCAGCCATTTACCCTGAAAGCTATTTCTTTGGGGGAGTAGAATTTACTGGAAATGGGCTCTGTGATTATCCTAAGGAGGGGGATGTGGGTACTTGAATTCTGTCTTTCTTGCCTCTGACTCTCTGTGGCATGTTTATCTACTTTGTGGTTTGGGGTGGGCAGGAAGATCACACACCCAGACAGGCTGCGAAGGGCCCTGTGCTCCTGGTTGTTGGGAAGTGCTCCTCAGTCACATTTATGTCTGCTGTCTTTGTTCTGAGTTTTCTGAGGGTAGCATTAGTTTTCCCTGAGGCTTGGAATTTAAAAGTCAATAATTGGGGTTTGTCTTTGAAGGCGGTTTCCAGGGGTGGGAGTGTGCGGTAGGAGGATGGAAGGCACATGCCCCAGCAACTCTGGCACTTGGCAGACGCATATTGGATGGGTGTCTGACGGCATTTTGACAAGTTGCCAAGAGAGCATAGGAGTCAGAGGGCCATGGAACAAGCCTAGTTTGGAAAATCTTTTTAGCAGAAACACAGCAGATTTGGTTCATTACAGTAAAAGCTTTTATTGCCTCTCCCCTGGGCTCACCAGGGAAGGACCCAGGAATGCTGAAGTTGCTCACCAGGCACAGCTTATACCTCAGCTTGTCTTCCTGTTCAATGAGCCTCGCCTTGCCCCTTCCAAGATCCCCACCATCATTGCCATTCTGGACTGTCAGCTGAAGAGCCACTTCAGCATCTGCGATGTGCTCAGGTACCTGGCCAAGCTTCCCCGAGGTGATACTATTTCACAAGGGAATATAGACCCCTCTGTCTCATCATACTCAACTCAATCTCACTTGGAACCTTCTAGAGGTTTCTGTTTGAGGCTGAGAGTTAGGAGAAGAGGAGGGCTTTCTTGATTTAGGGTGAGAGGCAGGTGTCCTCAGCAGGGCTATCTGTCTTCTGCCCCCTGGTATTCAAATGCCCCTGCTCAGCTCAAGAATTTCCATAAGCACAGCCATCCTTAGCAGCTGATGGCCAATGTCTGCCTCCTGCAGAATTCCCAGAGGATGGTCCCCACTGGTACCACACTCAGCCTTYTCTTTCCTGCTGCCTCTCTGATATATTGATCTAGAGGAGTCAGAGTTAACATCTCTGAAGAATCCCGACAAATTCTGGAAGTCTCTGGAAATATTGTATTGACCATAGAATATCACAATTCCCCTCAAACCCTCCCTCGGTCCTTGGGTGGATCACTTAGAAAACACTAATGTGAGATTAGGATACATGCACTGAGCCCCTGTTGAGCTTGTCCTTTTTCCCTGTTGCATAAAGGATTGGACTGTTTATCGTGTACACCCTCAAGCCTTCATCAGTGAACGAGAGGCAGATCTGCGTGGATGGAGCCCAGGAACTTTCCATGCCTGGTGAGAGGACCTTTCCCAGATGTCTTTGTCTGAAGGCAGCAGGATAACCTTCACAACGCCTCCAGAGGCACACATTGTGAGGTCATTTTTCAGAGGGAGGGGCTGAGGGAAAGGAAGGGGAAAGTATCTGCAGCTGGGCAGTGATTACAAAGCAGTGGCTCGGGAGGCCAGAGTTTAATGATTAGGACCACCAAATCAATTCCTATCTTCCTGCTTCAAACCCTGGAGTGGCATCTGAGGGCTTCAGGATAGTCAGGTCCCTATAGACCAAAACATGGGATCCTTGGTGCTCTGGCCTCCCTTCCTGGTTGAATCACCTCCAACCCCAGTGCCCTGATAAATCTCAACTCCAGTGCTTGCAGATCCCAGCATGTGCGGGTGTGGCCTCTGTCCTTGCTTTGGATATGCTTTTTTCCTCCAGAAATGCCATGTCCTGCCCACTCCTCCCTGCAACCTCCCCCAATGGATGAGCTGTCCCCCAGTCCCAGCAGGCCAGATTAAGTCACCCACCCTGTGCTTCAGAAACTCCATGGGGTTCTTGAAATGCACAAATTTGTTATTTCTTTCTTTGAGTCCCTCTCTCTCCCTAGRTTCAGAACAGCAGCCCTATCTTGTTCCCTTTGCCAGGGTGATGTGTCAATTGCTTTGTCCMAGATCCTCTAGATCTGGGCTATCCCAGATTGGAGCCTCTAACCACATTTATCCATTAAAAAAAATTTGGGAGGGGGTATTGGGAATTGAACTCAGGGGCGCTTGACCACTAAGCCACATCCCCAGCCCTGTTTTGTATTTTATTTAGAGACAGGATCTCATGGAGTTGCTTAGCGCCTCACTTTTGCCGAGTCTGGCTTTAAACTCATGATTCTGCTGCCTCAGTCTCCTAAAATTCTGGGATTATAGGCATGTGCCACTGCATCTGGCCCATTTAAATTTAATTTTAAATCAATTAGATTAAATGCAATTAAAAGCTCAGTTCCTCACTCTAGCCACATTTCAAGTATTCAGTCACCACACAAGGTCAGTGGTCACTCTATTGGCCAGGGAAAATATCAGACAGTTTAATCGTTGTAAAAGATTCTCTAGGACATCTTTACTCAATTTAGATAAATTATATTACCTTTTATCCTTAGAATAAGCCTCAAAAATGGGAACTATATTCCCATTTTGCAGAGGAAGAAGCTGAGGTCTAATGAGATTAGGAACTTAATCAGAGATTAAGTTCTGATTAATCTATTTTGGATAGATTAATCTCTATTTTGGATGGATCCAAATAGACATCTGATTCTGCTCCTCCAAGCTGTTTCATCATTCCTGTCTCTGKGCATGGTTGTAGTATAATAAGTTATTGGCAGGTAGGGAATGAAGGAATAGATAATGGGCCAAGAGTGGGCTTACTTGTTTCAATTCCCTTTTTCTATGAACTTCATTCTGAAACTTGAATCAAGCACATTAAATATTGTTTACCTGTTCTTTGGATTAACAATAGTGACACTTGAGAAGTCAAGTTACTTCTTTCACTGAATCTATGTACCTCTGCTATGGTTCATTTTCTAGTTTTAGTATAACATAGAAGTGCAAAGAAATAGCCTGGAAGTGAATCGAAAGCAGAAATCAAGGGAACAAAGATCATAGTCTTGACCATTTCATTCCCAGTGACTCCCACAATACCAGCACATAGTAGGAGCTCAAGAAATGTTGTAGCTTATGATACACCAAAAAACAGTTCTACTGAAAGATAAATATTATCTTATCATTTTTAGAATTTTTTTTTCTTTTGAGAATAGGTAGCATTAAAGATATCTCTAGTTAAAGGGAACTCTAGGAACATTTCCTGAAATTCTTTATAAGCATTACATTTAAGTTTAGATTGAATGCCAAAATTTTGAGTCCCATCCGTGCACCAGTTCCTGGGTAAACTAAGCATTTGATGAATATGATTGCTTGCTGCAGCAAATATTATGTCTCTTTACATCCGTTTTCTCTCAAATCTGAATTCTCTCTTTTTTTTTTTTTTTTTGTAGCTGGAAGCCAAACATCTGGAAAGACAATCTGGCTCCGAAACCAGTTGCTGGAGATGCTGCTCAGTGTAATATCTTCCCCCCAACTTCATCTGTCCTCTGAGTAAGTAGCTCCAGGAAGAGCAATTTGGCAGAAGGTTGCCTCATAYAGGGTGCAGTATTAAAACCTTTTCTTAATGAAAAGTTTAGCATCTCTGAGTCTGTTTTCTGCTRTGTGTTTTCTGCACTAGTCAGAAAGAAAATTATATTCTCTCCACCCAATAAACCAGACCTTGCCCTGAGATATTCTGATGCAAATGTTCAATGGGCATGAGTAACTAGAAACAGATTTGGTATAATTTCAATAAACTCCTTTTGTCACCATTGCTATCATGTAATTGTTATTGTTTTGGCAGTTGTGACAATTGCCGACTTTGATGTCCTGTACTTGGCAGACAACAGAATGGAGAAATGGTTAGCCTAAATAACATCTATCAAGGAAAAAGCTTGCCAGATTCTTCTGCTATTTACTGTTAGTTGCTTTAGTTATTTTTCCAACTTGGAAAAAAGAAGTATCTGCCTTCAATTAACTTTCAAAATAATGTGTAATGATAAAGCTGATTCCATTAACTCTCCCCATTGCTGGCCTGCAACCCCGGAGTYGTTCGTGCAACACCTATTTGTTAAGTTCCTGCTGTATGCATGACACTCTTCTTGGCTCCCAGGATGCAACATTGAGCAAGTGTGCCCAGTTCCTTGCTCTTCCTCTTTACAGTTTAGTGAGTATGTGTATTTGGGGTTGGAGGTGGAGACATACCCATCTGTAAAACAACCTTGCAAATAGTGGTTAAAAATTTACCAGCTTTTACATTCTAAAATCAAAACATGATAAAATTGGAAGATGCCTTGGAGAGGAGCTAGTTGGCTCTTTCCTTTTCCATCTTTTTGAAAGGAGATGTCGTATAGCACTTGAGCACCTGGACTTTGGCATCTGGACCTTCTGAGTTGGAATCACAGGGGAGGTTTCATAAGGCCTGTGTGCCTTTCTCTGCTCATCTGTATGAGAATAAAAATARATGGGTATCCCTGAGAACAGTACATGAGATACTGTAAGTACTCTACAAGCTAACTGTTACCATCACCACCACCATCAACAATACTATCATCCTCACCATCATGATATTCATCTCTATTGCCTTCATTACCACCACTACCATCATCATCATCACTGATTAAAATGACCAGAGCACACATCAAGTGCTCTGCCAAAGTCATCCAGTTAGTAAACAACAGGGGCAGACACTTTCTTCACTCCTAGTCCAGTGCTCACTCCAGTGCATACCAGCCACACCCTCACAAGGCCTCCTCTAGCAACTCCTGGTGAGAACACAACCCAGCTTCTGGGTCCCAGAAGGCCAGTTCTTTGCGGAGTCAATCATCCTTGCTGGAATGACCACTCATTCCTGCAATTTTGTTCCTTCTTGTTCCCCCCAGCAAGTCAACATTCTCCAGACTCATCATTTCAAAATTATTTTTTTTTAAATTTTAATATTAATTTTTTAGTTTTCGGCAGACACAACATCTTTGTTTGTATGTGGTGCTGAGGATCGAACCCGGGCCGCACCCATGCCAGGCAAGCKCGCTACCGCTTGAGCCACATCCCCAGCCCTCAAAATTAATTTTTTAAAATGATGGGTCATCATKCTTTTTTGGGGGCCTAAATTGGTAAAGATGTATAAATATTGGACTTTTCCATTTAGATGAGTTTTGACAGGTGTCTTTTAAAAAGAAGGTAAATAAACATTATGTTTTTTACATGACTATATTGATGGTAATTAAATGAGGTGGATGGCTATTTCTATACTGTGTAAGTAGTGAAGTAAGAATATTAAGGGAGCATGCATCTATTGATACGTAGTTACCAATTGCTTTAAACAGAGTTGAATGAATTAGGTCACAGCCATTAGTAGACAAATTCATCAACAGTGCAACAATCTTGCCAGCATTTTATTTTACATTCTTTTAAAATGTAATATGCACTTCATCAAGTAATAGTCGAACACTAACCTTTAACTTACCTTTCCTCAAGGACTCATGAGGCTGGACTTCATTTCTCTTTTCTGATCATGTCATTTGCTTGTGAACTGAAAGGTTGTATTTACTGACCTCCATGCCCCACCCCCAGGTCAAAAGAAGAGATGTTTCTGAACCTGGGACCCGACTGGTTCCTGCTGCTCCTGCAGGGCCACCTGCATGCCAGTACTACTGTGCTGGCATTGAAGCTGCTGCTACACTTTTTGTCAAACCCCTCCCTCTGTGGGCGATTCAAAGATGGCCTTCCTGTAGGATCCTGGGTGGAACGAAGCACCGAGGGCATGAACATTGTGATGGGTGAGCATATGGCTGTCTCCAGCAAGAGGGCCATCTCATCCTGGCGTGTGAGTGAGGACCATGCCGGCCCTTCTCCAGTTGGGATCTTTGCAGCTCCATGCACTTGATCAGCCCCAGCCTCTTGCTCTTTCTTGCAGGATCCCTCCACAGCCTCATCGCTCTTCAGTCTCTGGTGGCTGTTTTCCTTTTCTTAAAGTCTCMTACTCTGTTTACTCACTGGGCACTTCACATACTGCTTCCTCRCCACTTCTAGCAGATGTGGATTTAAATGCCACTTCCTCCAGGAGAAGAAGGGTCTCACCTGAATTGGCACCTCTGTTAATTCTCTCTGCTCCTATTATTTTCCTCTATAGTGCGATTTCTATTCTGAAGCATAGATTAATTTAGGTATTCAATTGCTTAATGTCTGCAGGGCCCGCTACACTGTAAGCTTCATGAATGTCTGTAATCCTTTGTACTTTTGAGTAATATATCCTTGTTGCTTTATATGAAGTTCCTTGTTGCTTCCTACACAGTTGGCATCTATTTTCTGTCTTGAAATGAGTGAATGAATGAATGAATGAGCATGTCAACAACAGGAAAAGGAATTATCATTGAGCACTTTCTTGTGCTCATCTATGCTAACATATATTTTAGCAAGTGTTTCTATGGTATGGTGGGCTGCCGGGGCTCCCTTATATGTCTACTCCCACCATGACCAGAGCAGTTGTTCTCAACCTGGATTTTGTGCTTTTTCCCCTGGATCAATAGACAACCTGAAGAGCCATCCTTCTGTACCTGACCAGAGCCCCCGTCTGCTTCCTGGGTTCCGTGTCTTGACTGCCTTTCTGGCCCTGCATGTTCATATTCCTGAAGTCTACCTCATTGTGTCCACCTTCTTCCTACAGACGTCACTTACAGAGCTGATGGACTGTCCAAAAGTAGGTTCTTCGATCACCCCTGGGAAGAGGGACACACTTTGTTTTCTGATCCCATGTGATTAAGGCAATTCCCTAAGACTCTCTATGCTTGCCTCCCTCCAATTCTACTAACTAGAACTGTGTTTGATCTCTTTCCTTCTATAGCAATCCCATACACCTGGACAGCTTTCAAATACCTAACCATCAGCCCTGTGACTTCCTCAGCCTCTGCCTTCCATCACCTCCACCCCCTCAGCAAATATGAATGACATCAGGCTCTTTTTAAAAGATTTTCTCTTTCCAGACATAGGGAAGTTACTTGATAATAGAGTGTCCATGTCTCAGCAACCCATCTCTATCACCTACTTAGTGATGACCTCTTCATCAATTCACCAACTTTTCTCCATGGTTACTGGGAGAGGTTTCCCAAGGCTGCTTTTGGCTTCCTTTAACTTCCCTGGTCTACTCATTTCGTACTTTACCTTTCTTATCCATCCTTTCAGTTTCTTCTTTTCTAATGATTCTCTCCTCACAGACTATAGGTATGTTAAATTATCAACCTTTAGCAACTGTTACCCTATTTAACACTTTCCTGTTTCTCCTTGGCCAAGTTTTTCCAAAGAGGAGTTCGCACCCACTGTGCACACCATCTCACCATTCATACTCTCACTTGTTCACACCAAGTCCAGGTATTACTTGGATTCCATTCCTATAAGACCAAGTTTGAGCTCTAGAGCTAGCATCTTGGGTTACCTAGCTTGTCTCTCCAACCTAACTCCAACTTACCTTTCTTCATGATGTGACTGTATTGGATCATCACCCCATTAAGACCAGATGCTTTGTGCTCACCTGACCTGTGTGACCTTACTGATTCTTTTCTCCCTCATCACTTGCCTGGTGGGAGTGTCCTCCCCCAGAACTCAGCTCTGGTGTTACCTTCTACATAGAACCCCAGGCATTTCCTCAGATGGCATCAAATACAGGTACCTCTTAGACACAGCTCCAGAAGGAGAGATCCCACCATTGTTTTTAAACTCAGCTTTCTAGGCACCTGACAAATATCAGATTTGGAAATTGTTTCTTGATCTTAAGTAGAATTAACTGAGCTGAATTAGGGAAAGGACATGGCTTGGCAGAGAAAGTTAAAAATTCACTTCTCTTGCATATCCTTATATTTGACAAGATTTAAATCTTTGATATACACTAATAAGGTAGCTCACACTTCAAGATAAAGTTCTGAATATAATTATGCTAAGTTTAGAAAGACCTGAATTTTTATTTCTCTAACAGTGTACTATAGGAAGCAAACATCTACTATGTGTCAGGAAATATGATAGATGCTTTACATATTTTATTTTGCTTGATATTTAAACAATCCCATGGGGTAGATAATGTGATTTTCCATTTCATAGAGAAGAAAACTTAACTGCCAAGAGGCCAAATAGATTTCCTGAGCTATTAAAAAGGAAAAGGCAGGGCCTCTTGATTCTAAACTCTAAACTGTTTCCTCTATACTGTACTTTCCCCTGAATCTTTGAATTCATCCAATGCTTATATAATTTAATTTACTAAAAGGTATTAAAATTAATTAAGACATTGAGCACTTATGAAGTCAAACCATAAGAACTAAGCTTTTGAAGAAACTTTATTTACTTATTTATTATTTATTTATTGGTGCTGGGGATGGAACCCAGCACTTCGCATGTGCTAGATAAGTGTTCTACCGTCGAGCTACACCCCAGCCCAAAAGAACTAAATTGCCACAAGTTGCTAGTGGGTCTTCAGTACCTTCTTGGGGGTGTGTTTCTCTTATGACCATCAACCGAGCTGGAATTTTCCATATGGGCTAACCACTAAGGCTGCTACTATGCTGTTTTGCTTTTTCCCTTGGGACTTCCTGGGAAAGGCTAGCACTGGCTGCAAAGCTGGTACTGTTGGTTTCCACAAGTCTCCTTATGGCCTTTGCTTTCTTCTTAAGGACAGCCTAGATGCCATGCTTCATTGGCTCCTGCAGAATCACCACCAGCAAGAAGTCCTCCGGGATGGACTGTGCACAGAAGGGGCCCTGCTGCTCCTAGAAATGCTGAAAGCCACCATGAGTCAGGTGAGATTCATTATCTACTCCAGAGGTTCTGTTGGGAAGGCAAGTTTGGAAAGTTCATCTTGACTCTTCTCAGCAGCTTCCCAGAAATGCTGATGTCTTAGTCCATTCTTTGTTGCTATAATAAAATGCCAGATACCAGATAATTTATAATAAACAGAGATATTTAGCTCACAGTTTTGGAGGCTGTGAAGCCCAAGAGCATAGCATTGGTATCTTCTTGGCATCTTGTGAGGGCTTTCTTGCTRTATCATAACATGGTGGAGGGCATCATATGGTAAGACAGAGAAAGTGTGCTAGCTCTGGGCTCTCTTCCTCTTCTTATAAAGYCACTAATGCCATAATGTAGGCCCTACCCTTATGACCTCATTTAATTCTAATGACTTCCCAAAGGCCTCACTTCCAAATACCATTAGCATAGGAATTTAAGGACTAAGTTTCCAACACAAACTTCCAGAGGTCATATTAAAACCATAGCATCTGGTAATAAGCAAGATAAAATAGAAAAGGTAAGTTAGATTGCCAAGACACACTTATTTCTCATTTATTTAAACATTTGGTTTTCTTCCCTGGGAGATTTACTGCCTTTAGTCAAAGGAAAGATCTCTGAAGTGGAAGAGGGGCCTCTCCTTCCAAGTAACTCACCCCTACCAGGACAGTTGGAGTGACCAAGAATGACCTGTGAGGTAAAGACCTGTCTTAGAAAAGGCAGTGGCTACCAGCTATAGACATTGCAGAGGCTTCTGGAGTAGGTAGCCTTTGATTTGGAGATACACTAGWCATGGGTGTTTGGTGTTAATTTAGACCTGGAAGCAAGTGTGAGGAGAGAAGAACATGTGGCCGGTGAACAGGAGGAATTAGTAGTCACATCAGTGTGATCTTGCATGAAAGGTTCAACTTGTTCTGTAGACATCAAGGGCACAATTGGGTGCTTGATTGTGTGAAGAAACTTCATCGATTTTTGTAAAATGATACACAATTATCTTCTTTAACATTTAAACAAAATAGAAAAGCAGAAAATAAAAATCACCTGACATATACCAGATATGACCTCTATGAACTTCAGTGGATCATCCCTCTGGACATTTCTTAAAGGTCACATCCTATCCTTATAGAGGATGAGATCACAAAAATTCTTTCTGCCTTTCTTCCATCCACATTTTTGTGAACATATTTCCATCTCAATAAAGTGGGAAAACATAAGAATCACCTCTATTTATAATAAAAATTTATGTTAATTTTCAAAGTGCTTGTTATAAAAAAACCTATAAAGGACTTTTTTGAAAAATCATCTTTTCTTTCTTGTTTGATGGCCTCCTGGAGTGCAGGATCGTGAGTCAAAGAGCATTTCATGCATTTTCTATTGGATGCATTTCTCAGAAAGATTGCACATATATATGTATTCCACCATTYAATATACATCTCAATATCTTGTAGAGAAGTACTTGGGCCCAGCCTCATAGTCTCAACAATATGGGCAAATGGATGATAGTTTCWTAGTTAGGTTCTTTTTGCATTTATTTTTATTAAATTTAAAACCATTTTATAAGTTTATTAACATTATGTATTTCCATGTAAATTGCTGGTTTATTCTTTCATCTTTTGCCAACTTCTCTTTCTTTCTCCTTCTCTCTTGCCCTGTCTGTGGTTATGCTGAGACAGTCTAGATCACATTTTGTACTTCTTGTAAATAGAAATTTTTTTAAAAAGGTCTTTTAGCATGTAATTAGATGATTTATGCTTTTTTCTTTTAACCAGTTACCTATGATGAATTACATCAATAGAATTCTTTGAATTCTCATTAAATTACTCTTGTTTTTTTAATTGTACTTCCTTATTCTGTTTTTGCAAATGTATATTGATGATTCTGTATGCATATTTATAAATGATATTAGGCTGATGATTTCTTTTTGTTTTATCTTTGTGAAGTTTTGATATCAATATTATGCTAGTTTTATATTAAGAATTTGTTTCTTTTGTATTCAAGTAGATGTTTAATCTATAATTCATATATTATTTAAATGCTTCTGTGAAACTGACTGTATCTGAATTTTTTCCCTGATTATTGATTTGTTTAGTCTTTTAAATGTTTTCTTAACCTAATTTAGTTAATTGATCTTTAAAAATAACTACCCATTTATTCAGTTTGTACAAGTGGTATTGTGTTGCTTTCCATTGCTATAACAAACAAGTACCTGAAGTGAGAAAATGGGTTCATTTTGCCTCACAGTTTTAAAGGTTTCAGTTTAGTTGGCCTCATTGCTTTGGGCCTGGGTGGCACATCATGGCAAGTGTGTGTGATGGAGCAAAACTGCCTAATCTATTGCCAAGCTGGGTCAAAGGGGAAGCRGAAGAGCACAAGTCCCACAATTCCCTTTGAGTTCATACCCCTCATGACCTAAAGACCTCCCGCTAGTCCTCTACCTCTTCAAGTCTCCACCCATCTCCAAATAGCACCAAACTGGAAACCAAGCTTTTGACACACATGGGTTCTTGGAGGACATTCAGGGTCCAAACTGTAGCAGGTCTCTTATAACACAGTTTTCTATGTGTTATTTCTCTCTTCTTATTCTTAGTTTGAGGGCTCCTCCTACTTTATCTTTACCACACCCTTCCTGTTCAGGAGCTGGTCTTATGGGTTTAAAGAACTAGATTTTGTACATCTTTATCAGTCTCCTGATTTTTTAAATTTAAATTTCTAAGATTTTTATATTTGGCCTTTCCAGTTTTATTGTTTTCTAAAACTCCTTTGATGACTATTTTCTAATGTGCATGTGGTTAAGCTTTTTTTTTTTTCATTTTAATCTATCCTAGTCTTATTTTTGTCCTGGTTATATARTAAGATATGTACTTTTTTCATCTTTGAGAAATGTATTCATTCTATTGTAGGCCTAATGTACGATTAATTTGGGGGTTCCTTAAAATGTCTATTTTCTRTTTATAAGATAAGGAATCTGTCACATACATAATCAGTTAATGTCATGAAAAATAAAACAATCAAAATTTGTTGCATAAGCTATTCAAAACAAGAAAAATGTGTAATATGCTAAGAGTAGTAAAAATGTAAGACCAAAAATTCACATCATAGCAGTAAGTATAAAAAATTAAGCTCATATATTAAAGATGTGATTTTTAGACTAGATAAAAAACAAGACCCAGCCTTCTTATATGTGTTGGAATGACAAACATATGCAATGAGAATGATGCTACTCATGGATTCAGTACAATGAAGATACCTGTCGTGAAAATATCTTTTACCAAGAACAGCAGACAAGTATCTAAATATAAAAGGCAAAAACTAGAAGGAGAAGAGAAAAAGACTAGAAACCTAATTGTGGGAATACCTAACTCGAAAAGTTCAGTTTATTTTACTTTTTCTTGAAACTTTATTTTGTTTGATATTACACCCTTGACCAGTGGTAACCACAGATTTGACTGCCTGTCCTTGAAYTTGATGTAAATTGAATCAGACAGTACATATTCTTTTGCATCTGGCCTTTTTCACTCATCATTACATTTTGGGATTCACTCATGTTGTTATGTTATCAGTAATTCATTTTTTTCACTGTTGAATAGTATTTTCTTGTGATAATTAATCACAACCATTCTGGCTTGTTTCAGCTTGGAAACATGCTATATACCTATCTTTTGGTGGACATATGTACTCCTTTCTGTTGCAAATATATCCCAGGAGTGAAATTGTGAGTCATCAGTTACACACATGACTTACTTTAGTAAATAATGCCTAATAGTTTTCCAAAGTGGAAAAACCAATTTACATTCTCTCCACCTTTTTTTCTGGAAGGGTTGTAGTTGCTCCACATCCTTGTCAGTTTTTTGCATTGTTAAAGGTTTTGATTTTAGAAMTTTTGCGGCATGTTACAGTGTTTTGGAAGAGACAGGGTTGTCTCCATTGTGGAGGTGTAGAAACAGAAGTTATGGAGGTTAATTCATCCAAGCAAGGTCATAGAGCTCAGGCACAGTGGAGGCATGTGTGTCCAGCATAAGCATCATGATTCTAGGTCATGTCCACACCTTGACCTTCAAGGGAGTCTCTGTTACTTGGCAGATCAAATCCAAATTCTTTTTTTGAAAGGGCAAATACTCCTTATGACTTCACCTTCTAGCTTCTTCTGTATTTACCCTGTGCTAGTCATTGCAAAAATAAGCTGCATCACTGAAATGCCTCATTTGCTCCTCATTATAACTTTCGGAAATAGGCCATAGCATGATCCTTTTTCTGGACTTGGAACTCAAAGCCTAGGGAGATTAGGAAGCTGGTCCAAGGCTATGCTTATTAGTAGGTGGCAAAGGCAGAGTTCCATCCAGATTGACTAACTACAGAGAAAGGTCTCTGAACACCTTTTATTTCTCATATTCACCTATAAATCTAATATTGTGCTGTAAGAACCTATAAGTGATCCAGATGCAGGTGACTTCAGAACTCTTTCTCTCTGCCTTCCTGCCCCAGCCTATCCCAAACCCTATCTGGATTCTGGACATATGATTCCAGTCACCCCACATGTCTTGTCTTTTTTCTACAATTAGAATTGAGTTTCCCAGTTTGAGACATGGTCCAGGACTGGGAGCTACTAAGCAAACATGGTATTCTAACTTGAGCTTACCAGGCCAGRACTGAGAGTCAGGCTGGAAGGGATGTGAGGAAGCCATGCAAGGGAGGGGCTGGCTCTGAGTAACCAGACTCAAAGGAAGGGCCTGGTGGCCACTTAGAGTGGGCTAAGTGTCACTCAGTCTGTTTGTCAACGTGGCCATGCAGCAGATGATCCTGCAGTTGGGGTTGATCAAATTTTCAAATTTCCTGTATCCTATCCATTCAGGACAATAAAACTTGGGCAGCAACTGGATACCCTGGTTGGGCTCAACTGAGTCTCTGAACAGAGTGACTGGGCAATCTGTCAAGGGAGTTGAGCTGTAGAAGGTTACGAGGGCTCAGTCAGGATTCAGGGTGGCGGTTTGGCCATGTTGCCAAGATCAGCAGGGAGAGAGCTCATGATGTGTGGGAAAACTGATGCCTTGGCAGGTGCCTGGGCACCAGCTAAGTACAACATGATCCATTCCAGACCCCCTGGCTTGCAGGAAAGTCAGGGTGAGAGTCTATAGGTGGGAACATCAGCACTGGGTCCTGGGAAGGCTGGGTTACCTCTGATGGGCCAGTCCCTTGAGCACTGGGCTAGGGAAGACTGGCAAGTCCCTTAAGCACAGTGTGCCATGTCTAATCACTTAGGGGTTGTGTGGGAAAGCAGCAAATTTCATACCCAATCTCCTGGGTTCAGTTCCTGGCTCTGATTCTTACCCATTGTATGACAAGCAATGGAACCTCTCTGGGCCTCTGTGTTTTCTTCTGTAAAACAAGAGTAAACACAGAGACTACCGCAGAGGGTAGAAGAGGAATGGGTGTTAAGCACTGTGTCCACACATAGTAAACCATTCCCTGGTTATCATGCAGTACCCAGTGCCAACCTGCAGTCTTAGGTGGCTTACAAGAGCATGTCTTGTGGAGAGCCTCCATAAGGAAGTTTTYTCCTGAGATTTCCATTCCTCTGGCTGACTCAGGCAGCCCCAGTCATGCTGCCATACACTGTGTCTCATGGATTGTGTCCTTAGCCCTTGACAGGTTCTGAAGATAGCACCTGGGAACAGACATTCCCAGTCACCGTGCTGCACTTCCTCAGCCTGGTACACCGCACCTACTCCCAGGACCCTGCGTGGCGGGCCCCAGAGTTTCTCCAGACCTTGGCCATAGTCACCTTCCCCTTGGGAACCCAGAAGGTAAGGCGTGCCGCTGCCCTGTACCAGAGAGAGCAGGTGTGAACTTCACCATCCTTCATGGTGAGAGGCTAAATTCCTCCCCACCTCCCAAAGTTAAAATACACTTAAAGCAACTTGACTGGAACATTCAATAAACAACTTGGGTAATTTTCCTTTTCTTGGCTGAGATGTAACTAGAGGTCATTTTCAGCTCTGGGACTCAATCATTTTTTTTTTTTTTGAATTGTTAGGAATGAGAAATTTGATGGTAGATCAAGTCCAATTCTATATGGAATATTCACACACTGGTAATAGGAAACAGTGAATCCTTTCCAGAAAGCCTGTTGCCTATGTGCCATTCAGGGGAGGGGTGGTACTTTTGTCCTGTTTGCAGGCCCCTYAGGACATGACTCAGATCCCCTTCCAGGCAGTAGGTTTGTGAAGAACCAGCTTAGAGCTAGAAGAACCAGGGAGGATAGAGGACCGACTTGGGTCTTCTGTCTTCTGTGATGAGCAGTTGAAGAAGTAGCTTAGGGAAGATGTGAGTTTAAGATGAACAGGGGGTCCCAGCAAGTCAAGGGGCAGCCAAGTTGAAGGATTTATAATCCCAAATTAGGGGGYTTATAATCCAGGACAAGCAACTAGGCAAAGTGGCACACACCTGATATTCCTATAACTTTGGGGGCTGAGGCAAATTTGATTCCAGTCTCAGCAACTTAGGAGACCCTGTCTCAAAATAAAAAACACAAAGGTCTGGAGGTGTAGCTCAGTGGGAGAGCACTTGCCTAGTATGTGCTAGGTTCTGGGTTCATTCCTCAGTGTCTGTTGGTCTGTCTGTCTATTTATTTCATACACATACACATACACACACACACACACACACACACACACACACACACACACACACCTACCCATGACAAGCACAGAGCTAGGCATGGAGTGTATGCTCCATAATCATTTGCTAAATCATCAAATGAATGGGAGAAATGTTCTCTTAGCTAACCTTTCCCAGGGGTGTGTCCATGTTGGCACATTGGTCCCAAATCTGGTGCTTCACATAACACTAACAGCAATCAGAAAGAGGAAAGAAGAATATGAGACTCAGAGACAAAGTGGTGCTCATAAGTCTCATCTCACAAAATGATTGAGAGAACAAAGTATGTCACAGTTCCTAGGATTAACATGCAACAGAGCTAAGATTTAAATTTTGGTCTCTCACCCCAAAGCCTGAGTTTTTTACATTTAAATCCATGTGATGGGTTTAGAATAAAGTTAAATAACTAATAAAATTGAAAAGTACAGTTAGCCCTCTGTGTCYATGGGTTCCCCATCAGGGATTCAATTAACCTCAGAGAGAAAATATTTAAAATTTTTTTGGTCTGTACTGAATGTGTATATGTTTTTCCCCACCAATGTTCCCTAAATAATAGATTTATAACAAACAGTCACATAGCATTTACATTGCATTAGGCATTATAAATAATGTAGAGATAATTTAAAGTATATGGGAGGTTGTTCCTAGGGTATGTGTAAATACTATGCCTTTTTATGTGAGGGACTTGAACATCTGTGGAATTTGCTATACTCAGAGGTTTCTGGAACAAATTCCTCACAGATCCTTAGGGACAACTGTAATTAGACTACATATAAAGACAAGAGGATTTGCAAAAAGATAAAATGGTTTCAAAATGTTTTTATGGATTAATATAAACTCGAGTAACTTACTAGGAAATTAAGAATAAACAAAAGGCAGTGATAGACCCAGGAAGGCCCTGCGGGCTGAAGCTGTAGGTGGAGGTGGGGTGGGGGTGGGATCGACACAGGGAAACTCAGGTGGCTCAGACCAGGCAGGGAAGAGGGACAATTTTACAGTCTGTCTCCTGCGATCTCCTTGGCACTTCCTCTGTAGGAGACAAGATGTGACATTTCAGTCCTAATGCCCATCTCAGCCCCTCCCCCCAAGGAACAAGCTTGATGTTACTGAGTCGAGGCTCCAGTTGAGCACACAGCGCACACCCTGGCATAGGACTGACCCAAAAGTCACCTCTGCAGCCAGCAAACACCCTAGTGGGCTGGTTGGGCCCTGTCTTGGGGTTCCTAGCTCCAATTCCAAGGTGCTTCTCCCTTATGACACTCTCTTGCCTTGTCCCAGCTTCCAAGTCAGCTCGMTAGGCCTTTGTTGCACAGAAAGCATTGCAGACCCTCCCCACACAGAAGGCTGGCAGCCCAAAGCCTTCGATTTGCTATGAATTTATATGGCATCTTTCCAGTTGAGGCCGCGTGGAGCTAATTAATGCAGTCGCCACCTCCCTAGGTGCCATTAAATTCATTTTATGGCTTAATTAAGAACGGCGGCATTAATTTTATGAATGAGCAAAGGGAGGTGCCAACAGATGAACGCACATGAAAAGTTCATGGRCCGGGAGTCAGGAGTCCCTGGCCGCGTGTCCTTGGGTGTGTCATTCGGCCTCCCTGCATCTCCAGGTCCTCCTGGACTATCTGGGGTAATGACTCTTGTCTCCTCTATCCCCTGTTTTTATAAACCTCAAATGAGGAAGTGAATGCTGAAGTGCTTCAGGGATTCAGGGAAAGGACTCTGCAGTTTTGCTTCTCCATCTTTCCTACCTGAAGGTCCTGTCTGTCAACATGACCAGGGCCTGGGCAGGAGGAAAAGGTGGGGACGCCACCACAAGGTGGAAGCCAATGTCCACTGACTCCCTACCAAGCTGCCAGGCATTGCTGCATCTATTATTCTCATTTCCTTTCCACAAATCTTCTGTGAGGGTGGTTTTTATGATTGCTATTTAACAGATAGGCAGCTGGCTTGGAGGAGTGAAGCCCCCAACAGATTTTGGATTTTGTTGCAGAGCACTGCAGTTCTCTCTGACTTGGTGGCTCAGTTTTTTTTGTTTGTTTGTTTGTTTGTTTTTTGCACAATATCAACCTATCTCAGTCAGATTCTCAGACCACAGTGGTAACTGTGGCCATAGGCAAGTAGGCTCTGGGCAAATCATACTTTGGCAGAGCCTCAGTTTCCACCCATGTCAATGGATATGATGATAATTCTGCCTGTTCCCATCAGAGACAGATGTGAAAGAGCCTGGCCACATGTTAGGGTTTTCTTGTCTTTGAGGGGCCTGCGGCTGAGTCCACCCGGAACACCAGCAGTCCTGGGACTGTCTCTGAAGGTGACAGCCCCAAGGAAGGTCTCCAGGCTCCTGTCAAGCCACACCCTGCCCGGAGRCAGCTGAGAGACTTCACTCAGATCCTCTTGAGGGAGCTCCTGCTTGGAACCCCCAGCCCCAAGCAGTGGCTGCCACTGGAGGTGCTTCTGGAGGTGGGTTGGAAAGGGTATTTATTGCTGGGCTGTCTTTTATGGGAGTGGGTCTGGAAGCCAAAGGGCATTGCAAGGGCAAGGGATGGCCAGGCCTGAAGATGCTGGCTGGCCAGTGGTGGAGTCACCGCCTCATGATCTGGGGGGATGTTTATGAACTTCAGGCCCTGGCAGAGTGCCAGGTGAATAGAAGAATAAGGGCAGGGTCCTTGGAAACTGAGCCTGAGGTGAGAGTGTTATAGAAATGATATATTGTAAGGACTGCCGTCAGGAGGACAGAGGGGGGCAGAGGGAAGGGGAAGATGCTCTCCTAGAGGTGGTTTCTACTGGAGCCTGGTCTCAAGGGRGTGCTGGTATACTCTCTGTGTCCCATAGTCAGCCTCATCTTGGGCACCTGCCAGGTGACCTTTGACTGTGGATTCCCCCACTTACCCCTGGAAGTAGGTCTTGCCTACTAGATAAGGCAGCTCAGTGAGCAGAAAGCAATGCCTTGGAGGAGGCCTAGTTGTGAGTGGTCAGCTGGGTACTACTGCACCTGCTGGGCAAGGGGTTAAGGGGTCATTATGGCTATGCGACTGCTTTCTCAGTCCCAGGCTGTGCTTCCAGGCTTGTCCAGACAATGCCACCAGCCAACAGAAGCGTGACTTCCAGTCTGAGGTCCTTCTTTCTACCATGGAAATATTCCACATCATGAGTGGAGGCAACATGGCACTCAGAGGTGAGTGGATGACTTGGTCCTTCCTGTTTCCGGCATTCAGCTGCTGATGGCTAATCAGGAAAGCCAGTATTCATGCTTACTCCTGATTCTGACTATGGGGTACTTCATCCTCCATCTGGGCGTATCCTCCATGTATCTGCAACAAGAGCTCATTGACCCCTGCCCAATGAGGGATGAGATGYTTTCTGCTTTCCATGACACCCCTGCCATCACTGTGCCACTTGGAGACAAAAGGTCTTCCTGTCCTCTGGGTTAAAATTGACTTTTCTTTAGCTTCAGTACAAATGTGACCCCTTCCCATAAGAGAAGTCCAAACGGCAGGGATTCCACAGTCTTCTGCTCAGCATCTTGTGCTGTGCACCTGTGTCTGGGTACTGAATAGGTACTTGACAAATGTTTCTTGAACAAATGAAGCTGGATTAAGATGCTGCCTTTGCTTTTCAGAATTTGAGCTGGAGACTTCATTGAAAAGCAGTTCCAGGGAAGCTGCCCCTTCTCAGGGAGCTTAAACAAACATTCTTTCTGTGGTTTTTGAGACACAGAAATCCCTAGCTACTTGACTTATCTCCTAGACTCTGTCTTGCCACAACATAAAAACCCTAGCTTTCTGGTCTTTCTCCTGAAATGCTTGATGTGTGAGAGAAGCAGAACAGTGAATTCAGTGTGGTTGGGAAGCCCCTGTGGGTCCTGGCTGTGTCCATGGACAGCAGTGAGACCCAGGGCAAAGGCCTGGATCTGTGACTCTCTGAGTGAGGATGACAACTACTGTAGTTGATTCACAGGGTGTTTCTAGAGATTAGCTGAGATCACCACACACTCATCCAAGCACAGTGCTTGTAAGTGTGAGCACAAATGCACKATCAGCTTTATGGTTGTATCTTCTTCCAGTGCAATAGCAAGAACTCAGACCAGCACAATGCCTTCTCATTTGCATCAGGCATTAAATTCTCCTCCATCCTTATTCTGAAGAGTCACTGGAAGAAATGCTTCCTCTTGCCTTTCTCACAGCTTGGTTTCTATCACTGGCCAGATTAATCAAGATCAGTTTACTTTGTGGGGGTGTTCAATAAAAGACTCCACCTTTGAAACAATGGGAATCAGAGATGAGTAAGACATGGCTGGTTATGAGGAGGGGCCCAGAGATTGTTGTGGAGAGAAGCATATTTAGACTCTCATCTTGGTCTATCTCTACTCCACTCAGGCAGTAAAGAGCCTCAGCCAAACATAGAAGCTGCTGCCGCTCCTTCCCTATCAAACATCTCCTACTTCACCCAGAAGCTGGTGGAGAAGCTGTGTGGTGGGATCTTCTCAGCAGACCCCAGACATATTCTTCTCTTCATCACAGAGCACATCATGGTGGTAAGAACCTGGGATGGCTGGGGTAACAAGACACCTCTTTGTGATTGACAAGGAGTCTGTGTGACGTACCTGGTCATTGCTTCTTTGGTCCAGCTGAAATTTTGTCCTTTGCTGAAACAGAATCTGAGCTGAGTGGGAGGAAGAAAGCAGTCCTTTAAGACCCAGGAAATTCCTGGTGGCTATTGAGTGCCCTGCAGGGCTTACCTGCAGGACCCCTGAGATACTCCTCAGCCTCAGCTCCCTGCACAGGCACTGATCTCTGTCCCTCTCAGACTCTACTTCCTTCCACTTGAGTTTTTACCACGATTATTGGTTTAACCTTAAGTATTGTTATTTCTTATGAGCAATGAACAGGCCAAAAAGGTCTTCGACTTAAAGGGCCTATTTTCTTTTCTTTTTAAAAATTGGTTCTTTTTAGTTCTACATGACCCCAGAATCCATTTTAATATAATTATGCAAGCATGGACTATATCTTATTCTAGTTAGAGTCCCATTCTTATGGATGTACATGGTGGTGGGATTCACTGGGTTGTTTTCATCCATGTGCATGGGAAACTAGGTCAGATTCCTCCTGCTGTCTTTCCTTTGCTTGTCCCCCTTCTCTTCCCTCCATTCCCCCATTGTCTAATCTACTGCACTTCTGTTCTTCCCCTCGCCCCCATATTGTGAGTTAGCTTCCACCTATCACAGAAAACATTCCACCTTTGTTTTTTGAGGACTGGCTTACTTCATTTAGAATGAGAGTCTCCAGATCCACAATATCTACTTCCCTCTGTTAATCTTTCTGCCCTCCTGAAATCAAGGCGGGACTCCATTTTTACCAAGTCCTATTATTTTTGCTCATAGCCACACAAGAAAATGCATGCCTACAGAGCCATCCTTAGATATACACAGGTTCACAAGAAAATTATAACCCCAAACTCCTAGAGTTGAAAGGGGCCTCTCTTAGATCCCTGTCTCCCACTGCATGCTGGGGACCTTTGCTGACAAGCTGCTGTGAGCTCTTTACTTGAACTCATGCGATGAGGTGCTCATTATCAAAGTTGCCCTGCCTGTAGGATGTCTGTGACTCTTGGAAAGGACCTTCTCTTATCACACTAGAACTGCCACCCACAGATCCCAGGACTGGGTCTCAGCACAGTGCTGTTCTGGGTGATGTATAGGTTGACACCAACCTGAAAATAATATATTGAGAGGTTTTATCACGAATGATTCCAAGAAGGGAGAAAGACTTTCTTGTCAGCTCCGGGAAGATTAAAATCAGATCCTCGGGAAGTTGTGTTGAGAATGAAAAGAGTTTCTGGTGGTCAAAGAAATTCTCAGAACCAATTCCRAAGAGCATGTACCTGCCAGGACTGGTGTGCATTTAGGTGGTACCAGGCACCAGGACCTCAATTCTCCCCAGCCCTTAACCTCAGTTTGAGAGGTGCAGGAGGAGCAGAAGAGAAGAGGGATGAAGACTTGACTCCCAGACTAAAACAGGTTGAAATCAAACTGAATTACATGGAGTAGAAACACCTGCACTACTTAAAAAATTCCAAGGGAGCAACCTTTGACTAACAAGTGACTTTCTAATAGACTAGAAACTTTGCATGTGATTTGTGATCTGTGAACTCTTTTCACCGAAGTCCAACATGTAYGAACTAATCAGTGTTGAGGCTACTAATCAAGAACTGTCTCCCCCTCTAAGTTTCTCATAAACTAAAATACACTGGACTCCATTGCCTTTAGACAATATCATGGTTAAGGGCGTGGCTCAAGTGTCCAGTGTGTCTTTGACCCTTGCCCTTCCTGACCACCTAACCTCTCTGGCCTTGACTTCTTATCCCTAACGTGGGGTTTTCTTAGTATCTACTTGATGGTGTTATGACATTTAAATGAAGCAATGTATTTAAATTTATTCAAATCAATGGAAACAAAACTTAGCATAACCAGGAATATTGTAAATAATCTATACATGAAAATAATTATTAATACAATTAGATATTACTAAAAGCATATTCACATAAACTGAATGTCAACTGTGTTACCAGTATTTCAGAAGTCTCTGGTCACCAAATCTATTTTCCATAATATGACTGTAGTAAATTTTAAACTTTTTAATTACACAAGTTCTTACCCAAATTCTGAATTGCCCTTATTTATCATTTYATTAAACAGAATCTCAAACTAGAAGAAATTAGCACTATTTGAATTTAAGGTCATGTCATTTTTTGATCATATTATTTTCATGGTAAACTGGATCAGTATCTAAAATTTCAAAGTGTGCAGAAGTGTATTTATGTGTGTCTTATTTTTATGACTCAGGTCATCGAGAATACCTCTTCTCAAAGAGAGACTGTCATCAGTGCTTTATACAGCAGTTTGAACAAAGTCATTCTATATTGCCTCTCCAAGCCCCAGCAGTCTCTGTCTGAGTGCCTCAGCCTTCTCAGCATCCTGGGCTTTCTACAGGAGCACTGGGACATTATCTTTGCCACCTATAATTCCAACGTCAGCTTCCTCCTGTGTCTCATGCATTGCCTTTTGCTGCTCAATGAAAGAAGGTAGGAGCTGCCTACTTATTTCCTTGACTGCTKGTGTTCAGAATAGAAAAAAAGAAGACTGAGAAGGAACTAGATTGAGGTCAATATAAGTGATATAAACTTTTTGTTTATCCAGTTGTCTAAATTATGTGCAGCATTTGATAATATGGTAATCCTCAAACATATTCATATGATTGAGCAACTAGAATCATCCTGCAATAATAATTAATCCTATTTCTGTAATTCTACACTGTAAGATTCTTTATTGATTAATTTTTTTTCTTGTACCAGGGATTGAACCTAGAGGCATTTAACCACTGAGCTACATCCCCAGCCCTTTTAAAAATATATTTTATTTAGAGACAGGGAAGAGAGCACTGTACCATGTTATGCTTTGCTCTTGTCCTTTTTATTGCTTAAATTTATCCCAGTACAAAGAGAGGGTTTTGTTAAGTTGCTTAGGGCCTCACCAAGTTGCTAAGGATGGCTTTGAACTCAAAATCCTCCTGCCTCAGCATCCCRAGTCACTGGGATTATAGGCATGTGCCACCATGCCCAGCTTGATTTAATTTTTTGAGGCAGGAAATGCTAACATTAAATGTACACACTGATTCTTTTGATACAGACAGATTTTAGAAACATTAACATTTGATAAAGGCAATTCAATTATGGGAAAAATCATATAATACACTGTATTGTGCAAGCCAGGAATAATTTGTCTTGCAGACACACACAAACACAGACACACACACAGACACACACCCACACACAAAAACAAACAAATAAACAACAACAACAAAAACAGATGTTCAGTCTATATCATATGAAACCATCTCCTTGGCATCATGTGGCTTACAAATATAATCTCTTATTAAGAGGGCCATGGTTGAGTGTAGGGAAGAGAGGATAGTACCATGTTACACTTTGCTTGTGTCCTTTTTATTGCTTAAATTTATCCCAGTACAAATTACAAGTTTGATCACTTAAATAAAAATTCCCCAAATYCTGTACACATGACCCCTGGACACCACAAAACACTGAAGCTGACCTGTCTCTGGGAATCACTGGGAAGTCCTCCTAGACTAGAGGAGGCACTTGTCCTTTTATTGGTCTGTAATGAAAAAAGATATTTTCAGTGTATAGTTAAATGTGGGGAGGTTTTTTTTTTTCTTTCTTCACATTTCCAGAATTAAGCCCTAGCCATATTGAAAGCACAGGTGAAAAGAGCAGAATTCCTATTGGATTTGTGTGCTCAAAATGACACCCTCCTCAGAGCCTTCTATGTAGCAAAATGACCTCCAACATCCCCAAATTAATTTATTGTAGAAATTTCATGAATTGGGCATTTTCGTATGTTGGCATTTTTTATTCCCATGTTTATTATTTTAGGTTCAATTTATAAACATTTGCTGAGTGTTTATTCAGTGCAGGAGGCTGAGAGGGGCTCTGAAATGAGGGCACATAGACATTCACGTGGTAGGGACTACCAGATTCCTGGGGAACTGAATACATAACCACTGTGCCCCCACTTAGAACTGACTATATCATGTGTGGAAACCTGGCAAAATTAAAATGTAGGGACCACATTCAAAATTTACCAAGAACTTAAAGATGGTGATAGCAGAGTCCAAGTATGGGGCCCTTCCAAGTTCAGGACCATGTGCGACTACAGTTTGCACACCCATTCAAAGCAGAACAAAATCAATGCCAAACAAAGGAAAATTCAGTACATTGGGAGTACACAAGAAATGATCAATTCTGATTACAAGGAACCAGAAGAGGGTTCAGGGGCCTGCTGGGATCATGAGTAGCACTTCCCAAGATAGACTTCACATGAAGGTAAGGTGTTTTCCTATTATCCAGAAAATCGTTTTGCAATATCTGCTATGGAAATTATTATGCATTTTCTTTAACTTGATTTAACACATTTTCCATACTGATCTATACTGGGTTTGAAGGACGGTTACTTATAGAACCATGGAACAATAACAAAAAAAGCCCTCTTGTCTATTAGTTATCCAGAAGGATTTGGATTGGAACCCAAGCCTAGAATGACTCCTTATCATCAAGTCTTTCTATCCCCAAATGACGAAGTAAAGGAAAAAACAGAGGAAGACTTCCCAAGTTTGAGTGATGGTATGTCTTATTTAGTGTTTACTTTTTGTATAGGGGGATTGTGGATGGATAGTTGTATCTGCAAAGTTGCATCCTTCATCTGTCTTTCCAAAGTTAAGAAAGCAAATACTATTAAGGAAAACTTCAAAGATCAGAAGAGGACTTAGGAAATCTCAGAGTGAGGAAGTAGCTCAACAAGTTTACATGATAGAAAATAACACAGGAATGACTGTTGTATCTTAGAAATGAAATGAAAAGGGATAGATAGGTGGATCGGTGGATGGATGGATGGATGGGTGGATGGGTGGGTGGATGGATGGATGGATGGATGGATGGATGGATGAATAGAAAACTTTGTAGGACTTGGTTCCTCTATAAGCTTGGCCTACTTGCTTAAATCCCTGGGCATCTCACTATAAGTTGAAACTGGCAGACCATCTCACCTATCTCAAGCCTTTATGCCTAGGGATAACTTAGCTTTGTTCCTTAGAAAATGGGGAAGGAGTTAATAAATTCATTACTATCGGGCTAGGGATGTGGCTCAAGYGGTAGCGYGATCGCCTGGCATGCGTGCGGCCTGGGTTCAATCCTCAGCACCACATACAAAGATGTTGTGTCCGCCAAAAAAAATCCTGAAAAATAAATATTAAAAAAATTCTCTCTCTCTCTCTCTCTCTCTCTCTCTCTCTCTCTCTCTCTCTCTCTTAAAAAAATTCATTACTATCTATAAGACTTTTGGCTTGATAAATTTTGTTCTTGGATTTACTAATGTCAACCCAAGTTAAAGGCATTGTAAATTTATATAACAAATGTATGTTTATCTATCTATCCATATATATCTATTTTACACACACACACACACACACACACACACACACACACAGAGCAGGCAGTTCTATGTGTTTGAAAGATTGTACTCTACCTCTTGATCCAGGAAGTAGAAGGTTTTGTCACGTTAATTTGTGACTGTGCCACTTTGTGATATCTTGTGATATAAAATCTCGTGCACAAGTACCTCTGTATTCTGGTCACACAGGTGCCCAAAGAAAGTGATCAAAAATCTTGTGACTTTAAAGTTTATACAGACACAGTTTTAATGACAGCATGAATGTATGCACTTTGGTACTTGGATGGTAAAGCTGGACTGGGTAACATCCATTTCTCGATGTTAAGATAAAATAGATWATAGAAGGTTAGAACCAGAGAGGGACCCATTGATTCAAGATTAGGAAATTTAGGCACAGTTTGGGGACTGTAGATGTGGGTTCAGCAGGCAGAGTTGGCTTAGTATCTGAGCAAACCTAGGGAATGAGGTGGGTGGGTTCTGGGAAGTATCWTCAAATACTAGGAAAAAAGGATTGGATTAGGTCCTGAGCCTCTGGTCACAGTCTAGAGCTTGAAATCCATTCCTCAGGCCAACATGTATGGGGAGGTTGGAAGGAGCTGTTTAGGGGGAGCTGGCTTGTTACATAGGGTCACACAGGGCATCTCTCTGGTATCCAATGGAATTGACAGGGGATGGGGGAAGAGGTTCCCTCCCATCAATCACTCTCTTTCCAGACCTGGACACATCAGGCAGGTGTGACTTGTTAAAAACTTAGACACAGGGAAAGGCCATCTTTTGGGGATGTTGGCAGCATTGTGTCAGCCCTGTGACTCTACAAGCTGATTACTTCTGGCTGGAGTTTTCAAAGCTGGGGGTGATATGCAAGACATTAAGCAAGAAGTATGTAGGTAAAAGCTTCCATGATATGCCATCTTTTCGCCCTCTCTGGGAGTGAGGCTGTCCTAATTGTGCCATGTGCTCTCTCTGCTAGTCCAGCACAATATCCAGAAGACAGTRCAGACTCTCTGGCAGCAACTCGTGGCTCAGAGGCGGCAGGCACTGGAGGACACCTTCAAGATCGATCTCTCTGTGAAACCTGGAGAGAGTGAAGTGAAGATTGAAGAGGTCACCCCACTCTGGGAGGAAACGATGCTCAAATCCTGGCAGCATTACCTAGGTCTCTCTCCATTCGGCTCCAGGGGATGGGAACTTCTGGGTTTTATAAAGCCAGATTCCTCTGAGGTTCCACTCGGGATCCAGAGCCTTTTCTACTCAAACCCTCTATCTTATGCCTTTGGTTGGGGTTTAGAGCCTTGAAATTTCATGTATCTTTCTCACAGAGAATGAATGCTGCTTTCGTTTTGGATGAAAGAAAGGTTACAAGTACCAACCAAACAAGTAGATTATAGTCTCTCCAAGGAATGGGCACTAGGTCAAGGYTCAGGGCACTGGAGTTCTAGATTCCGCCCTGATGTTCCCCTGCCAACTTGGAAACCTTGCACCAAATTATGCAACAACAGTGAGCCTTGGGTTCCTACAGTCCTGACATTTAAAGAAGTGAATGTCTTCAACCCCAAAATATTAATATGATAGTGACTCAACACTTTTACCCGCATATTAGTTAATGCAGCTGCAAGAATAAGGTCTTAATTTTTTTAAACTTTTTTTTTTCATTATAGATGGCATAATATCTTTATTTTGTTTATTTATTTTTATGTGGTGCTGAGGATAGAACCTAGTGCCTCATGTGTGCAAGTGCTCTACCACTGAGCTACAGTTCCGGCCCATTAATGGTGTTTCTAAGGAGGTCTTTGCTCTCAAATTATGGCTCCTATCCTTATTTTAAGTCTTTTAGCATTATAAAATTCAGAGTGATTCAAGACTTTATTCTTTTTCCGTCTAAGTGCCCTGGACCATCCAGAGGTATGGAAACTTTATTTAACTAGCTTTTCAAGTTAGTCCAGGCAAATATGTATGTCCATATCTGCCTTAGTCTATTTTTACTGCTTAAAGAAAATAATCACAAAATAGATAATTTATAAATAATAGTTATTCACTCACAATCCTGCATGCTAGGGAGTCCAAGTTACAGGCACCAGAAGATTCATTGTCTGGTAAAGGCTCTTTCTGTTTTCAAAGTAGCWCCTTGTTGCTACATCCTCTGGAGGGAAGGGACACTATATCCTCATATGGTGAAAGGGTTGAAAGAACAAAAGGGCCCAGACTACTTTCCTCCAGTCCTTTTATAAGGCACTATAGATTCAGGAGGGCATGGCCCTCATGACTTAATCACCTCCTAAAACAATACACTTTTAATACAGCCACAGTGGGAATTAAGTCTCCACATCAATTTTGGAGGGAATATATTTAAACCTTAGCACTAATTATGTACTTACATGTACAAGTTGAAGCCAAAATGTCAGATTKCACTTTAGGGAAAAGTATAATAAAATTGGATACATATACCCATGCAAATACAATGGAATAAAAAGGCAAGATGGACCTTTAACTTACAAATGGCTCTCTTTTGGCCAACAACCAATATTGAGCAGTTTCTGTGTTCTAGGTGCTGTATACACATAATTTGTGTAATCTTCATGATACCCCTGTGAGTTTAGATACAATTTATTCCCATTTTACAGGATGAGAAAACTGAGGCGTGGCAACGTTAGCTAACTTGTCCAACATCTCACTAAGTATCAGAAAGTCATGGAGCTACGAGTTTAAGCTAGGTCTGGTGACCCCAAAGTCCACACTGTGTTTCTTAGCCAAGGGAGTACCAGAACATATCAGTGTGAGCCACAGCCCGGGCCGTTTCACTTATTGGATTTAGGCACACTATGCTTATATCCCCTGGCTGGCCCTTGAAAGACAAGCCAGCTGTCAAAATAGTGTATGCTCTCCTTTCAACTTCAACTCTAATATTCTTTGCTTCTCTGTCCCCAGCGTCTGAGAAGAAGTCACTGGCCAGTCGTTCGAGTGTCACACACCAAAGCAAAGTCGCTTCATGGAGTGAGAGCCTGTCCTCAGCCATGAGGCTGATGCCTGGGCGGCAGGCCAGGGACCCTGAGTGCAAGGCCGAGGTGAGCCCACACTCCTTTTCCTTAGAGATTGTYAGGCATTGTCTTCAAGCCTCACGAGTCTCTTTTCTGTTGTCTGTCCTGGACGTGATCTAACACCATGTTCTCTGAGTGCCTGAGGGTGTGTGTGGTTCCTAGTCGAGGCTGCATGCAGTGAAGCTGGGTGGTAAGCAGGTTTTAGTGTCAAGTGAATGTGGGCTCCCTTTTGGTGCCAGGTACAGCTGTTCCTTACGGGATTGAAAACTAAGCCCGTTCTTCTTCCCATTCTCTTTTGGAGTTAACGTGTGTTCAGAGGGAACTAGTCGATGCTCAGCAGGACCTGGGTGTGTAAGCACATCCAGGGGGACTAAACCTGACTGTCTAGGTGGCTCCATTTCTAGGAGACACAGTGATGGGCCTGCTTGACTGTGTAGGCCAGAGTCATTGAGGTTTTCCTAATCTGCTTTTTGAAAGCCATGTAACAAAATCATCCCCAAACTCAGTGACTCCAAAGAATTTGGAGCACAGTAAGAGAATAGGGTCTCTGCTCCATGATGTCTACAAATCAGCTGGAATCTGAATTAGTTTTTCAACACTGTGACCAAAATACTGAGCAAGAACAAATTAAAGGATGAAAAGTCTATTTGAGCTTACAGTTTCAGAGGTTCAATCCACAGTTGGCCAATTCTATTGTTCTGGTCCCAAGTTAAGGAGGACACCATGGAAGAGAGGTGTGGCAGGAAAATGGTAGGAAAGCTTATCACCTTATACTAACCAGGACGCAGAGAGAGAGGGGGGGGAGGGAGGGGGTAGGAGAGAGAGAGAGAGAGGAGACAGGGACAAAAAATATAATCCCTAAGGCATCTCTGCAGTGACCCACTTCCTTTAGCCATGCCCCACCTGCCTATAGTTACCCCTCAGTAATCCATTCAAATTATTAATACGTCAAATGCATTAACCCACTGATTAGGTCCTAGCTTTCATTATCTAATCTAATTTTACATCTTATATTAACATAGGAGCTTTGGGGGGGGGGACACCTTATATCCAAACCACAATAGGATCATCAAGAACCCAAATACTTAGACACCTGGTGTTTGCCGCTGTCTTGAGGTTGAGACTTTAGCTGTGACTTTGGCTGGAACACCTACACATYGCCTCTCCATATGAACTGGGCTTTCTTACAACATGATGGCAGGATTTCCAGAGGTAGTGATGAAAGGGTAGTGGGGGAGGAACGAATGAGAACACACACCAGGCCAAAGCTACACTGCTTTTCATGACCTCTCTTCAGATATCACATTGTTGAGACAGGCAGAGAGTTCTGCTCAGGTTCCAGGGAAGAGAACAGGACTCCACCTCCCATATAGGAGTGGCAAATTTCTACATGAACATGTGAGCTTGGAGGTACTGCTGAGGCTCTTTGGAAAGCACAATCAGGCTTGTATTCCCCAATGCTGGGGTCATGGACTTAGCTTTAGAGGCAGACTTGTTGCTGCTGGATAAGATCTTAGGGTCAGGAGACTCTGGAACAATTCCTTAATTTCCCTGAGTCTTTATCTCCTTATTTCTACAATGGAGCACATCACTATAGGAAGAGGAAAGGGACCCCCAGGGAGATGCAGCAGATAGCTGACATAGTCTACCTCTCAACCTGTGCAACTTGGGAAAAGAGGTGAAGCCCAAGCTCTACCACTCAGAATGGGCACTGGTCAGTGACTGACTGGGAGGCACAGTCAAGAGATGAGGAGAAGGGAGGAGGAAAGGACTGCCTGCAGCTGCCCAGGAAGTTGAGGAAGAAGGCTTTCTTCCTACCAAAACCTAGGAATCAAAGACTCCCAGGGAACAAGGAGAAAGAACCTAAACATGGAAGGGAAGACCAGAAATGAGCTTGACTGGGCTGCCCTGCCACCTGGTGCTGAGAAATGAGGAGAAAGCCTGCTCTCATCCAGGCCGCATCCTGAGGGGCACTGGTGTTCTGAACACAATTCTCATTTATCTGTTTAACAAATATTTATGTTGAGCACTCACTCTATGCTCTGTTTTAAACACTAAGGTTACCATGGAGAACAAAACTGATATATTCTCTGCATTTATGGACCTGCATTCTAGGGAGTGAAGGTAGATGATAAGTAGATAGATAAATTTGTAAATGTTGGAGGTATGGCTTGCAATCAGGAAGAATTTAGCAGCATAAATGGAAGAAGGCAGAGAGAGGGGTGCCCAGATATTTAGATGGAGGAGGTTGGCAAAATTGTTTCTAACAAGGGGTTATTGGAGACAMCAAAAGACTTGAGAAAGAACATGATCCAAGTGAGGCTTAGGAAGAGAACAGGTCAGGCTGAGAGGACATTACACCATGGCACTGAGGCAGGAACATACTGGGTGTCCCAGGGCAGCAAAGGCTTGTGTGGCTGCACTGAGATGGATAGAGGCATCTGCGGTCACCCCAGCTTCCAGGCAGCCATGGAGAATGTCTCCCTGAGCTTTTAACACCAGGAAGAACTGTGCTTCCAGCAACTCAGTGGAAGAAATTTTGTAACTGATTGTGTTTTTCTCTTGCATCTGGAATATGGATACTCAAAAGCTTAAAGAGATAAGCATGGTCCGGCTTTTGGAACTGCACCCATGTCATGGGATAAATTTCTGTAACAAACACACACACACACACACACACACAATTTGTTTGGCACCTCCTTTCCCTTTGACCTTCACTTTCTCTTTCATTTGATTTATATATCCTTTCAACACCTTAAAATCTTTTGTGCAGTTTTAAAGACAAATTAATTTTGGAACAAAGGGTACTATATTTTAATTTTTAAAAATTAACCTTTGATGGGCGGCAGGCTACTTCGGTAACTCAGCCTGGGCTGGACACAGTGCCTGCCATGCAGCAGGCCCTTAGAGAATGAGCATGGAGGGGTTCCGAAGGAGGAAGTAGAAGGCTCCCCCTCCTTTCACTGAGATGAAACTCACCAGCCTTCAGACCCCACATCCATCACTCATCTCCATGAGCTGCCTTTGTTGCTACCAGAAGGCACAAGTTCTCAGGTACATATGTACACTGTGATGTCATAGGATAAGAGCATCAACTATTTGCCCTGGGGTCTGTTTAATTATTTTTAAAAATTAATTTTGATTATTACAGCTGATTACACCTCAGTGAGCAATGTAATTGATATTTTCTAATGTATCCCAAGGAACATTTTGTACAACACGCTTTTTGTTGTTGAAGGTTAAAGACTCCGTTATTGGTTTTTCCCTAAATATGCCCACATCATTAGTCCCTCCAGTGAGGAGGTCGCCATCTGGAAAAAGCAGCATGGAGACATTATTCAGGCACAAGTGCATGAAATTGGTGTTTTTGCATCTTCTGTCTCTCTTCTGGAAAGAAGAGGCTTGTAATTAAAGGAGTTGATATTGGAGGAAGCATTATTCATTTGGTGTTATTCCTTATCATGTCAGCTGCTGACAGCTCTATAGCACTGATAAATTGTTCCAGGGAGTGAGACATATGATATAGGATTCATAATTTTTCTTACCTATCTTCATTTTCAGCAGAAAATGTTTACTTCTTGGCAGGTGAACAACTTTGAAGCAAGGTCTATTTGATACATGCTATTTTTTAAATAGATACTATTTCTTCTTTTCCCCTGACTCTATTTCACTTCCTTCTGGAATCAGACTGTGGAGTCACCATCTCTAGCATGGCAAAGGCTGAGGGTGTTCGCTTGTTGGACAGAGGATGTGTACTTGGGCTCCCTTGAGGTCACCAAAATCCAACTCAGGGTGTTCCAGAATCTTGTTCACCCTTGGTTTGGAGAGATTCAGGGTGCACACTCTTGCCAGCCATTTCTCTTCCTAGCAGGAGTGTGACTTGACAGGGGTGTGGAAAGTGTGTGGTTTAGAAGGTTCTGTGGAACTCTGCAGAGCATGAGGAAGAATAAGAGCCAGAGGATATAGGGGTGGGAGTGCAGGGCTACTTCTTGCCCCTAAAAGGGTAAACACAATCCTGACCTGTGTCTTGTTGGGCAGTGTGAGCTAGACTTCACCCCACTTTTCCCCTGGAACCAACTGCCCACTGTAGATATGTAGATACTTTCTATGCAGGGAGCCAGGTGGGTTCCACATGATAGGGAGGCCCACAGGCCACCCTTCAACCAAAATTTGGACATTGTATAGAGGAGCTAGACACCCCATGTCCATCATACTTCCATGGTTTTTGAGATGGATGGGAGAGCTTCCATTTCCTATTTTTAATGCCATTTGTCAGAAAACTGAAATAGCTCGTAGAAGGAAGTTGGGGCCTATGAAAATTAACAGAAGGGAAATGGGAAGGCACAAGAAGACTGAGGCTGACATACTGGGGTTGCTAAAATACCACAGATAAACTTTTGTAGCACTTGTACCTTTGCCCTGGCAAGGTCTAGACRTTTGCCCATGGTGACCTGCGGTTCCTCTAAAGATGGCCTCTTGCCCAGACATTGGATGCACCAGCACCCTTGTGAGACTAGCAGGGCCCATCCATAGCCATCTACTCCTTACCTGGTCACACAGCAGGCCTGCTGTCTCCCAGCCCCAGCCATGAAGCCATCCCTGTCCCCAGAGGAGGACAAGSTGCTGAAACCAGCAAATCAGTAACAATTCCATGAAAGGCAGCCCTTTCTGAGGTCCTTAGCCAAGGGTCTGACATTTGTAAACATCTACTCTGAGCACTTCATCCATTAACTCTTTAAAACAAATCCTTGTGGAACATTTCAAACACATGCTACAGAAGAAGAAAAAATACTAACAATGGTTCCCTATGTATCTATCCATCACTTCAACAGTTGTGAACCCTTACAGCCTCCCTGTCACTACCCATTTTCAGATTGTACCCTGAATAATTCTGAAGCAGTATCCTAGACAATTGATCTTTACATGTGTCACTATTTCTGAACACTTATTTTCTCTTTAAAGAAATCATGAAAGCCAAATAAAAATTGCTGAAAAGAAAGCCAATGTGCAGAACTGGAAGGCTCRGG